CGGGGGCCAGTGGAAGCTGCCGGTGGAGCTGTGGATTGAATTCCTGGACGGGATTAACGCAACGGTTCGTCAGGACGGAGCGAACGTAAAAAGAATTTCAACTGCTTTTGTACGGCTCACGTTCCAAGTGAGCTCCGAGCCCCGGCTCCGCTAAAGGAAAACTCCCGATCCAGATAACTGATGCCAAACCTCCCAGTAATCTGCCATTAAAACTCATCCGTGGAAAATGAGAGATAAGCCCCTTAAAAACGAGAACGTTATAATTTATCACTTCAATTTTGGATTCAGCATTAAAATGACTCCTAGCTACTAGAGTCCCTTTATACTGAGAGTCAAGACAATGTGAATCCATTTCTGATTGGTTCCCGTATTTTAGGCCTTCACAGTGTCACGAACGGGAATAAAGATTACATATTTTCACCGATTGCAAAGATTATAATCTGGAATGGACCGGGGAATTACGGGTTCGGCAAGGAACAAACGGAATGAGAGAAGGAACGGAGAGAGGAATTTGAGAATGGGCCAATCAAAGATGACAAAAAACGTTCTATTTCTGTAATCTTTATTCCCGTTTGTGACTCGATGAGGGGGTGTTGTCTTGACTCTCAGTATAAAGGGACTCTACTAGCTACTAGACTCTAATGACCATTGCTCCAAAATTGTGCCCCTAGGCAAAATTTGGAGGCAAAAGTGCTATTCTATCTTTGAAACTTTGGGAGACTGTAGCTTCTTGGGGTTCAACTTTCAGACCCATATTTCAGAAAAAAGTCTCATTTTTACCTGCGCCATACCTGAAGTCCTATAGATCAAATTTGGGATACCTTGTTACATAGGCAATCGAATGTAACCGAGAGCCGCAAGTTTGTAATATGTTAAAACGTGTATGTAAAATATGTGCATGTTTTACACATTATAAAGGAATAAATCAATTAATATAATTTAAAAGAATTTAAAAATCAGAATTTTTAATCCGAAAATCAGTATAGATACCTATTACTTTCTCTGAATCTTTGTTTGCACAGAAGTTCAAAATGCACAATATGAAGATTGGAAAAAAAAATCAAGTACCTATATCAATTGAATTCGCAACTTTAATTAAATATCATGTAGTTATTACTTCCTTTTAACAAACCTTAAGTCATACTTCAAACATATTTCATTTATTGTTCAATACTTTTGAAGAAGCTCTCCTACTAGGGTACTCCTACTATTTCGAAACGTCCCGGGGTTTTCTTTTGATTTGTATCCCTTTCGCAGCTTTTCCCCAAATTAAGTTGATAGTTGACCACTAGGGTAGTATCAATCATATAAAATACTTCAGATCCTCTGTCTTGTTCTGATTGTCGGACTTAATCATGCACTAACTCTACTTTTACGTTTTTAAGGGGAGTCTCCTTGACTTGTCCCAGGCACTACGATCCCATGTTCATCCTTCTATTCAGTATGTTGTAATTGTTTTAATCTAGTACCGGTAGAGAAGACGTTTCCACTAGGCGTGGCAACATGGTCGGGGGAAGTACCTCACGTAGCTTCCTGCTCATAGCTCATCTTCCAACCTACCAACGGCCGTGGTCGATGGACGATTATCCCCTTTAAAATCACCGCTTGCTTTCTATTGGAATTGGAAGGAGGAGAAGAGCTACAGGAATGGTTGGAAAAAAAGGCGGAAGAACGCATAGTGTTTCGTTCCTGACCACTGCCCTCATGAGTCACTCACTGCAAGTCCATACAGAATCCTCGGACCTTGTATATTTCTTGATCGGTCACTCGTGAGTGTCTTTCGTGTGAAAGGTCAAAGTAATACTGCCACGCTAAGGAAAAACGCCGTATGAGCCTTCAGGCGTCGTCAAATTTCCCCTGGCAAATCACTCATTTTCAGGAAAATTTATGAATATTTGTCTACAAATTTCTCAGACAATTTTGTGTGTAATTTGATCCAAAACTTCTGAAAATTTGAAGGAAAAATATTCATAATTTTCCTTCAAAATAAACATTTTATCGAAGGAACTTTGGCAGCTCTTGAATATTAATCGACGTTCTTCCTTAGCACGGCAGGATACTATTACTGGATCTGATTCGGAGTTTAACGTTCTAATTTTTAGAATTTCTATGGCAATTTACCATGTTCTTGTTCATTAATTAATCAATTAGTAAGACTTATCCGTCCATTTTCCAAAGATTGAGGTACTCTTTTATAAGCACCACACAGCAGATGTATTCTGAACAGAAAGATTGATTTTTCCATTCTAATCCTCAGAAATTGTTGTTACAGCCGATTTTATTGATAAAGAAGGTGAGGGCGATGAGAGGCGACACATTACATTTGAAATTGTTAATTTGCGTCTGTTCTGTAACTAGAATTAATCAAGCTTGCAAAGCTCCCATCGTGGGTGATAAAATGGAGTACTTCACACCGCTATTGAACTTCCCAATGAACTCTTTATTGTATGACGCGCTCAAAAATTCACGGCGGCTACCGAGGACAGAATTTCATTGTTTTCGTAGAGTAGAAGCTCTTTACTGCCACGCGAAGCGAGGACAAAAAGCTCTTGAGAGCTTTTGCGTGGGCATGAGCCTGTCACCGCCTTTTGAGGGAGTCCGCAAGCGCGACATTTTGCCGCACTCCTTGGCGCTTCAGTCTGCGACTGAAGAGCAACGACCTCTCTTCAAACCTTACCAACACTCCCCCTCCGCCCCTTGAACTCGCATGTAGGCATTCGGTTTCTGCTTGCACTTTGTGATCATAGTCTTCTATCAAATAACCAGGCCCGCCACATCTCATTTCAGGCTCTGGTATCAGTTTTAAGGTCCGAGCCCTATGATTGCCACTAACCTATTCTGCCAGGGCCGGATTAAGGGGGTGGCCACATGGGCCGCGGCCCATCGCGACAAATCTAGGAGGCGGCAAATTTTGCAATTTTTTTAAATGTAGGTATGAAAAAAATCGGATTTAGAAAAAAATTACAAACAAAATCTCTCATTTCCTGAGAGTATAGTAATTTCTAATTTTGTCGTCTTTCGGTGATACAAGAGACAGCACCTTTAATTAATCGAGTTGAGAGAGAGACCAAACAAGCAATTTAGCCAGGAACGGGGCGACTGAGAGAAAAATGATGACGAGGACTTGAGATGAAAAGGAAAAGCCCTCGGCGCGGCGGTCGGCATGTAACACATATTAGCGCCTACATTCCTACAAGAATGCACGAATACTTCACGCATTGCATCAAACACAGTGCGGTCACTGCGATCAGCGTGAAACGGATAGCGCCTACAAGAATGCATGAATACTTCACGTATTGCGCCAAACACAGTGCGGTCAGCGTGAAACGCATAGCGCCTACAAGACTGCGTGAATACTTCACGCATTGCGTCAAACACAGTGCGTTCAGCAGCGGTCGTCGGCGTGAAACTCATAGCGCCTAGTAAACTGTCGGAATACTTCACGCATTGCTCCAAACACCGTGCGGTGTGCGCGGCGTGGCGGCGGAACTTAAAATCATTAAACCACATTGATGTTTCTTCTTTCATAATTGTTTCGTTAATTCCTTATGAGGGCCTTGTCCACGCAGAGATAGTTTTACGAAACTTAACGTTCGCGCAAAGTTCGGTGAATTTTTGCTAGGAGTGTTGACAGGGTTTTCCCAAAAAATGTTTCCAACACGAGTAAACACGTCTTATGCACCCCACCATCGCAAGCACGTTCACTTAATGGTTTTTATTGATGTTCCAAAACGAATGAGAAGGAGGCGGCAAAATACAGGCGGCCCATGGGCGGCAAGTAGGTAAATCCGGCCCTGCCATCTGTCCCCTTATCTCTAGAAAAATAATTTGTAATATCGTGAAAATTAATATGTCAGATTCGCATTCCTCGTTAAAAACCACCGAGCATCCATGTATCATTGTATCATCCATCAGAATCGCTCGAAAGGACGCACAACCACCGACTCTGGAAGCTCGACGTGAGTGATCACACTGTGCGCCCGAAAAAGTGGGTCCGGGGAGGAATCACGCTTTTACTAGAGCTCCACATTCGCACGAATCTCAAATGCTCGTGTGTCAATTTTTTATCGTCAACGTTCTGTTAAAGCTAAGCATTTTCTTCAGGAAAAAAGTTCGATCTTCATAAATCTCTCAAAAATCGAACGATCTTCCAAAAGTTCACTGGAAAAAAAACCATTTGATCTAGAGTCCAGACTCTTGAAAACATTGACAAGAAAAAATACTCTTGAATCAATCAGATTTTTGCTTAAATCGAAAGGAAATCAGCTCAAATTAAGAGGCTTGGTTCTTGATCTAAGCAAAAATCCTATTGAATCAAGAACATGTTTTCTTGTCGATGTTCTTAAGAGTTTGGACTCTAGATCCAATGTGTTTTTTTTTTTCAGTGTTCGCATAATAGAGACGACCTTCTTGTTGTTTCTCAGTATGCCCTTCCCTGTAGAATGAAAAGGAAGATTTTTGTGCGAAGCTCGGCATGGGTGGCTTTAATTACCAACCAGGAAGATTCCACCCACTAGAAATGGGCCCGAGTTACGCCTCCGGCGGATTGGTGCCCCTTAAGTACCCATTGTTGAGCGTGACAGAATTCAAGGGATGAGCGTGTGTGTTTGTTTGCGTTTGTCTTTTTCGCCTCTCTATTCTTGTTAGCCGTCATCGTCATCCTCACCGTGGCTGTTTGTCTGTTTCAGGGAGCCGGAGCTGGGCGCGTCATCTCTGACATGCACGAGGCTGACCAAGCGGGAGCGCGATTGGAGTCAATTATCGCCGAGCGTCGGGCCCGATTCGGGGCCCGCGTTTAGTCCGCGGAAAGCGGAATGCCGTCGGCGGCCGGGGCCCCCGCAAGGCGCATGAGCAATTACCAGGCCCAGTGAACTGCACCCGGACCCGAGGCGAGGCGTCGTGCGTTTTGTCGCCAGAAGAGTGCCACCGCCGAAATGCTGCTCCTCTGCTGCAACAACCTCAGCCCCGGCACGCTGTGACTCGCGTCCCCGTGTTCTCGTCTTGCTATGGAGCGATACCGAAGTGCCCCTCCTCACGTTTGAACCTCTGTGATTTCGCTCAAGTGTCGCTCGGAATGAACGTGGTTTCAACGGTGTGCATAGTGGGCTGAAAGCCTTTCAGCTTCGCGGTCGGCGATGTGCTAGTGTCGCGGTGTGTGGAACAAGTTGCGGGAGTGATGCAGCGTGGTCTAGATGCCATTGCAGCGCGGCGTGATCGAGGATGTTGAAACATATGCTTTCGCCCAACGGCGGCAACGTGACGATGGAGCGGGGAGCCGGGGGGCCCGAGCGGGGCGGCTCCGGCGTCCTCGGCAACGGGGGCACCCTCTCGCCGTCGGCGACCCTCAACGGCGGGATCGGCCACCACATCGGCCACGGCCACCGCTACATGAACCAGAGTCATCCGCGCCTCAACCACTCGCACGGGCTCAATATCTCTACGCTCTCCACCTCCAAGCACTCCCTCGGGGGTAATTCCTCCTCGGTGAGCCCCCTGGGCATGACTCACGCCCCGAGCGTTCATTCCCACCACGGCCCGAAAATGGCCAACGGGGGCTTGAACATCTCCCGAACGCACGTCCCCGTCTCGCCGGTCTCGCCCGGGGCGCCGGCCACCCCGGCCCGGCGCCTCCCCGAGCGCGCCCAGAGCCTCAAGCAGGGCGACGGCGTGAAGGAGCAGCTCACGTCGCTCGGGCTCCTGTGTCTAACGTCGCTCATGGTGGCCATGCTGGCTCTGATATTCCTGCTCAAGATCTCGCCGGTCACCCCGGCCGACGTGAGGGACCTGATGAGGAACGAGCAGCTGACGGTCATCTCGCCCGACGAGTATATCACCGTCTACGAGGTGACGCTAGCCCTGTGCGCGCTCTCCTTATCGCTCAACCTGTGCTGTCTTCTAGTCTGTTCTGTCCAGTTTCTCTTCGCCGTCAAATTGGTTCGCACTTGGCCCAACGGTGAAAGGTAAGCCACGTTCTGTTTTTATTACTAGGCTTAATGGCTTGTCGGGCGTGTAATTGATCTGCCTCGCACCAATTTCTCAGGGACGCTCGGAACTACGTGATGCGTGTTTAGATGACGATCCACCGGTTGTCAGGTTTTATTGATCATACGCACCGACAAGATCAGATTCTGCAGGGCCTTCAAATACTATAACTGAGAATGTTCAGGTATGCTGTTGAAGCCTGTTCATCCGCCCGGATTATTTAGGCCACGTGTGAATCCCGCCTATCGCGAGAATTCAACTCCTCGTATGTGTCGATCTTGTCAATATATCGATTATGGAACTAGGAATATATTTATCTCGATAGCTGCTTGTCCAAATGTTCGTTTTTTGTTGTTGTTTGTTTCGAAGAGAGAACAGACCATCCTCCTTTTTATTAAAACTTCACAAAACGTTTTACTCAATGAAACAAAGTAGTAGAAAAAATCTAAGTATGACGTCGAATAATTCTCCATTGAGAAAAAGTAGGTTTTGGTCGTAAGGTTTGAGTTTTGAGAAAAAAATCGATCACTTTATGTGAAAGTGAGTCCCTCGTACTTGGTGTCGGGACGTAGGTCGTGTAAAATAAGTCTCGCAATTTATTTGTGTCACCTTAGCGGAACTAGAATAACCTTGACGATTTATGTTGTCACCGCACTTGACGTAGAACCCCTCACTTTGCAAGCTCTATCGCTTCTCCAAATGACGAGAAAATTACGGCTCCCCCAAATTTTAAACAGGATAATTTGTGGCCTTGCGTGTTTTTTTTTTTTATTGTTTGCCTCTTAGCACAATGCCGTAAGAAGATGAATCTAGAATTGCGCAGACCTTAGCTTGCAAATTTTATTCCTTTGATGGAAAATTTCATTTGACATTCATGATTCGTGCGAAGTTTTTTATATTCCTACAAAATATTCTATAAAAATGTTATCAGTTAATTCTGGCTTAATCCATGAGGGGCCATGCATATAGCTCATTTGATTAGGAACTTCAAAAGGAAGAAAAAAAAAGGAAAATAAACTTCAAACGACTATCATACTCCTAAACAAAAGAATATACATCGCAAGCTTTGTTATGAAGTCTTCACTTCCTCAGTCTTCAAACCGAATGTCGCTCATTACCTACCACTTATCTCTCTGTGACGAAACGCTCGATAGACTCCCATCTATCCAAGCGGAACTGATTTGCCCGAGCCCTGTGATCAGCGCGTAAACATTATGGTTTAAATTCATTTATAATGTTTATATTACTTGCCGGCCCCTCCCGTCTGGGAATGGAGTCGATATTTGCTCGTTCGTCTATTGTCCCTGCTCGCTTTTTGCGAGTCCTGTCTTTGCCACTCTCTAATTGTTACGCTTGTCGCCATAGTAGATCGCCTCGTTCGCTGTGAAGTTATTACTTTTCTTTCTTTTTTTCATGCGCGTTTGTCACGAACAAAACCCTCCTCGCCGAAGATTGGGCTGCGGCATTGGGAAATGGTCGCCGATCGTTTTGATGAGGTTTAATTACGCGTTAAAACTGATGCTTGGCACCAACAATAAGTGCAGGTTCATTGCTCCGCTCCGTTGCAATGTTTGATTGTCGATACCGTATCAATGACCCAACTCGAGTCTTACGTAGCAGGGCCGTATTCAAAGTCGCACCTTAAACAGCGCTTTTCCGTATGAGGCCCCGTATGCTTCAAATCCGGATTAAAGTGGGTTCACGGAGATCCTTTACCAGAGAATCATAAAAAGGACAATTCAAGCGGGTCTCGAATAATTTTTCACCTGCTAACGTCTCAATTGGATCTTTACAAGTGATAATAATACGGATTTTCTTCTAAAATGAAGTATAAAAAAAATCAATTGAAACAAGAGAAAAGAAAAGACAAAAAATGTGCAGATTTCAAGAAATACGCCGCGGAGAATACCTACTCCGATTTGCAAACCTAGCGACTAATTAAAAAATGAATCATTTGATCTGAAGTGTCTCGATTAAAAAAAAAAAAATTATTCCCAACTTTCTTTAAAAATCGTCTTTTCTGAAAGTAAATTTGGCAACATCTGAATATTTTTTACGGCGTTTTTCCTTAGCACGGCAATAGTGGTCCCTGATGCAGCGAGCGCAGAATGCATTGTATGGACAGTGAATTTTTTGATTAGTTTGTCGCTTCTCCACGTAAGGCCCACAGAAAAGTTGCAGTGCTTCGCCCCTAGCCAGAGTTGTTAAAAAAAATTTCATCGAATGAAATTTCGTGAAATTTCACAAGAAATTCAAATTTCTTTTTTCCCCATGAAATTTCTTAAATTTCATGAAATTTAAGATTCTCCATGAAATTTCCTGATGAAATTTCTTCTTATAATCTTTCACGAAATTTCTTAACTCTGCCCCTAGCTCTTTATCTGGATCTCTGTGTATTATTGGCAACGCCTCGACGCAAGCCGTGATCCAGGTTTTGTTTTCATTGCACCTACCTGTGCTATTCCCTCCTGTCTCACCTTTTCCATCCTTTCCCTTTCATCAAATTTGTGCCCTTATCCCGCACCGCAATGCATTCCTAGCCACCCCCGCTCCTCTACACCACCTCCCCACAACCTTCAGTTTTTAAACTGTACTCCGAGGTGATGATCGAATTCCACCGATTGTCTCAGAAGGTGGATTTAATTTGTTTTGCGTAAAAAGGCCCTGTGCCCTGTGGTGTTGCCTGACCTCGACTGGTGGTATGTCAACTTGAGCGCATCCAACATTTTTTTGAGTTCATCAGGACATTCGGCACACCAACGGCGCCTGCAAGTCACCCCCACCCCCCACCCCCCCACTATGTCCAGCCCGTAGCACACATTCCTCAATTGGACTGAGTTAAGCAGAAAGGAACCAACCCACATTTTGGAAAAAATTGAGTTATGAGTGGTTTTGAGCTCAACCACTGCTCTACTTTCTATCGCCAAAAATTCAAAGTTTTTGTTGGAGCAAATTTTGCAGAAATTGAACTTGAAGTTTATCTTTTACATTGAGTCTTATGCAGGAGCCAAACTTTAAACCTCTTTTTCTCGGTTCGATCCCGATGTGGCTTGGTTCCTTTCTGTTTAACTCCGTCCAATTGTGTGTCAATTTTAAATGCTAGTCCATCGCACAGTGGACCGAGTCAACAGGAGATATCGGACAAAATTTGGAACTTTCGAAAGCTTAAAACTCAAGCAAAATTCAACTCAAAAATTCAAGCAAAAATCCGTTTGAATCAAGAGTATTTTTCTTGTCAATTTTTTAAGAGTCCAGCTGGATCCAGTGTGGCGTCCATACAGGCAGGGAAGCACTGCTTCCTACACTTACAATGGTTGATTGAAAGGAAATTAATATTACAATTTTCTTGTTTGAAGGATAGCACAGATAAAAGAGTCGGGAGGAGTTTCTGAAAAATTCAAACTTCAGTCATTTCGCCTCAAGGCGCACTGACATCCCATGCGTTCAAGTCTCCGTAAAAAAGCGTTTAACTGCTCAATGTTTTAACTACTTTTAAACTTTTCGTGTCTGAATCGGGGACAAAGTGTTCAGCCTTTTCTCTCCCTGTAACATCCTGTATTGGAAAAGTGAAAATTGAAAATAACTCAAGCACCAACACAGGTGCTCTGAAGATTGTACCCCAGTTTCTTTCACTTAGCGGGAATAAAGTGGTCAAAAAACAGCGCTTTTAGATCTAAAATCGGACAAAGATTTACAGAAAACTTCTCCATATGCGGATCCAGACAATTCGAAAGGAGGAGGCAGAAGGGGGGTCCAGGGGCTCTCCCAGAAAGTTTTCGAAAATTTAAAGCATCTAATGTGCAGTTTGAGTCCATTTCGTCATGAATAATTACCAAGTATTAGCATCCTTCCTTCTTTCCTCCGTTCCTTCCTTCTCCTTTCCCTCCTTCCTCCCATTTTAATTTCTCCTTTTTTATGCCTCCTACGCCCCTCCCCTCTCCGCCTATAAACTTTGGCATGTAGACGAGTCATTTTCAAAGGGAAACATCATGCACCAACTGAGCAACACTTTTTGGCTCTCACGATATTATGCATTTCCTCTCCTAAGTCATCTGCTCGGTAGAATTTTCTCTCGGGTTTTGGAGCGTGCATTATTTAATTTACTTCATTTCTTCCCAAGAAAGGCATAATTCCGGCTCAATACTAGTACACCATTTCTCCAGTCGGTCAAAAGCTCTCTCCCGGGATCGTCGCTCCGGTATGGAACTCCCATTGTTTCCAGACAAGGCTGCCAGATTGTGCGACCGAGCCCATTGAGTTAAAACTGTTTCAACTGCTAAATGCGGGGCGGTTCTCTCCAAGCCTGGACATTTAGGCAATCCCGCCTTAGACCATAGGCATGCAAAGGGCAGGGAGTCGAGTCAAGCTCAGATCAAACCGGTAACGAGTGGGCTTCAATGGCGTGGCGCACTTTGGAATATATCGATTAATATGCCATCTAAGTCTATGGAAATGGATCGATGAAAAAGGTGTTGGCAACGAACACCTTAATAATCGATTCTTTACCGTAGCTTCCAATGGAGAAATCGATAATCGATCATTCACGCCCCGCCACTGGTGGGCTTGAGTTTTATACAGCATGCGGCGCTTGGCGCAGGGAAAGGAGATGTGTTCGCATCCGTTGTTGGCAGATTAGCTGATCGATAATTTAAATGTCCGATTGAACGCCAGAGGGTCGTAAGTACGGTTTTCCATTTCGACGCTTCAAAGGAAACCGTTATTTTCCACGTTTGACGGCCGATGTATACTGCCGTGCTGAGGAAAAACGCCGTATGAACCTCCAGGCGTTGCCAAATTTCCTTTCATAAAACTCGAATTTCCCAGTAAATTTATGCATATTTTTCTTCCAATTTTTCGGATAATTATCTTCGCAATTTTACCTGAAGTTCCTGCAAATTTCAAGGAAACATATTCATGACTTTCCTTAAAAATAATAATTTAACCGGAGGACATCTGGCAACTCTCAAATGTTCATATGGCGTTTTTCCATAGCACGGCAGTACAGCTTGTGCGCGTTGAAATTGAATGTCACGTGTGTCGGTCAGGGTTTTCAAAAATGTTGAGTGGGTGGAAAGTATGTAACAAGCGTGAACAAATTAATGTGATCCATGACAACGCTTTCAAAACCAAAATGGACGTGCAAGGTTTTACCTATATAGTTTTTCCAACTAATAAAATTAAGGATGTCCGAATAACATTTCCAAGATTTATCAGAAGGATTACAGCGGAAAAGTTATGAAGAATTGAGTGGTTTGGAGGACAAGGCGCATAAGTACAGTTTTTGCGATTTCGAGAGATGCGTGTTTGAAGTTTCGAAATTATATGGATCCTCATGGTGGAACGAAAGTTCAAACTGACTTTTTGATGCCTAAAAATTGGAATTTGGGAGCGAATTTATCATAGTATATGCATTAAGACTATAGTTTTACTTGAAATCAGTAATATCTCAATTTTTTTAAAAATTGCACTTATGCGCCTTTTCCTCCAAGCCCCTCAGTTATTCTATGCCTGCGTCGATGAGGCCAAATACCCGATCTTATGTAATCAGTCGTTAAAATGGTCATAACTTTTTTACCGTTAAAGAAGTTTGACTTTTTTTGGAATCGTTTACCATCGACGGCAAATCCTTGCAATACCTACTGAGTGAACTTATAATCAAAATAGGGGATAGGACGGAAATCCCAAATCGTTAAAATTGAACCGATTTTATCAGCACTTGGTTCCTTGACTGTGAAGATAGATGTGTGCAATTTTCGACCGATTTAAGGTATTTAATATGATATCGATGATTATTTTCCCACCTATCGATTTATTGCTCTTGATTACGTTTTTGGTTTTGTTTTTATCGCTCGCACTTAGATTAATACGCACTTTTTCTTCTTTTCCAGGAGTAACATTTTTCTGCAGAAGTCGTCGATAACGAGGGTGTGCGCCATCGGAGGTTTCTTCATTTCGATTCCGGTTTTTCTGACAGGTCAGTAAATTTTAAGTCTCCCTCCGCAGCTTGAATTACATTTAGATCGCGTTCAGAAGAGAGAAACCCAGTAACTTCCCTACGTTGCCAAGATCGAGCAATTTCCTGTGTATTGAGTATGGAAGTTCGATGTTTTTTTACTTTCACAAGTCCTTCCATGTCAAGCGAGACTAAAATACCAACATTTTAAGTCGGTTCACTGTTTCTCCTTAGGGGAAAAGGTTATTCAAATAAAAGGCCTGTTTACCTCCTGGAAGACGGTGACTAAAAGACGTCCCGTGAAGGGATGGCGGCAGGGTGTCGCGTCGCCGTTGCGTCGACGAAGAAATGTTGCGTTGTCAGGTGCCCGAAGACCTTTGGGAAGGTTGGCAATTGTGGCGTTTGGGTGTCGTAGAACGCCACCGTGCGAAAAGAGAATGTCATATTTTGAAGTTGTTTGGTTAAGAAAACAACTTGAATCTATCTTTTTTTTCTATTTTCGAAGGGACAATTTCATCGCTTCACATTACTTAGGAGATTAAGACTGTCGTTGACACCACGATCTAGAAATCGAACTGCTTCGTGGACATGAGTGACCGAAGCGCCTTCCATTTTTCCATAGGCAACACGCGTGATCATAGAGTACGAATAGTTGCATCAAGGCGTTTATTATCAACAGCATTGAATGCGTTGCTCATGTTGACTGATTGGATCGCGCAAAGCAGAAAGGAACCTAAAGAAACATCAGCTGTTGCCAAATTTAATTGGACAATTTAATTTCCTACATGAAAACGGATGTGCGCGTTTTTGTGCGAATTTCAGTGAATTTTTTGCATAGTGCGAAGCAAATTCCTAAAATTTTACGAAGGAATCCGCCGAAACGCTCTCTTGTTACGTCCATCCATCATACCTTGAGATTGCAATACGTGGCTTATATGTATAGGCTTAAAGGGGGGGGGGGGGAAGGGCGTACTTAATTTGAATTACGGGAAGCGTAGCATCCTCAAAGAGGACGATGAAGATGAAGATGTCTTGGATTGGCCGATGATGCCTACCAATATCCGCGGTCGGCTGCAGCTTAAAGTTTTAAGAAATTTCTTAAGAAAGTGGTGTCTTCTTCGCTGTGAGATTACTCGAAAAACAAAAAAAAATATTACTCGCCGGAAACTTCCAAAATCGATTTGCGGGACTTTTCTGAAGAGAATGATTAAGAGATAGGTGTAACTTTTTTTCATCCACATGTGAGAAATCCATTTTTAAAAATCCTCAAAATAGTCCACAGTATAGTGCGATGCCTCATCTCAATGCCGCCCGCTTTTAACGATTCACAAATAAGCATCTGTCTTACGCGAGGGAAAAATAATAAGATCTACTTAGTACTCCTCGTTTTCTATAATTTACCGAGCATCAATTTCATAACTTTCCGACGTCGCTCAGTGGATCGAGTCAGGGGAGGCTGGACATAATTTGGAAACTTTTAAAGCTTATAACTCCGTTTATACACAATTTTAAGGTTCTAAAAGTAGTTACATTGGTTTCCTCGTAAAATTTTCCTTTAGAAGCACTCTTTAAAACTTCAAATGTGACGAAATGAACATCAAAATTCGCGGTTTTAGTCAAAAATTTCATGTCTGACGTCTCTAATTGACTCGATCCACTGTGCGTCGTGTATACGTTCCTTCGTTTTCGAGTGATTTAGTTCAAATTATGACTAAGTTTTTCTTTGAGGATGCCTGTTGCGCATATTTTCCAGCGATCCTATTCCAACTTGACTTGAAAACTCGATGACGGATTAGATGACGAGACAGGCCAGGAGGCGAGCACGGTGTGACAGTGACATCATCGGACGAGCGCGCGCAAGTGAGTCACGAACTGCGTGACGCTACGCTAGCGCGAGCGCACGCTCGTCCCCTAATAATGCTCGCTCGCGCCAAATTCACTCCACCTGCATCGTCCCAACTCCGAGTGCGTTTTTCACTCACTTTCAACTATCACTGATGGTCTCCGCGTTAGCAGAGTAAAATGATATTTTATTTGCTAAAATATTCCCATTTCTGTGCAAGATGGAATATAAAGAATTAATAAATAAAAAATAAAAAAATAAAAAAATCGATAGGAAGGAACTACATCTCTTGGGAGCATATTTTCAAGTATATTTCACTGATTAAAAAACTCCGGCTGTGGGAGCCGCAATTACGGGCTATACAGACGTACCGTCCGTTACGGGCTCAAAGGCCGAAAATTCCGGCTGCTGGAGCCGTAGCTTCGATTGCTCCGGGTTCAGAGGCCGAAGCTACGGCTCCAGCAGCCGGAATTTTCGGCCTTTGAGCCCGGAACGGACGGTATGTCTATACAGCCCGTAATTGCGGCTCCCACGGTCGGAGTAATTTTTTTTTTTCAGTGTTTTTTTTAAATATTTATTCATTCACGTTCTAAAGGAAACTATAGTGTCTAGGATCTCAACTTTTTGGCACGTCTGTCTACGTAATCATTTCTTAATGAAAATGAGACCGCGTTGATTCAATGTATAGTTTAAGCGAACAATCATTTTATTTATCATATTATCTGCATCGGTAATATCGTGTAACGCATTCAAAATTGAAAGTCTGCAATTTCAACACCTGGCTAGCACTCGTTCCCCGATGCCCGTTTCAATTTGCGAAAATACTTCTCTCCCCGAGACGATAGGAATAATTTACGAAATGAGATAAGGATCTGCTGTTTGAAACGCGTTGTCATGAAATGTCAACAGTATGTCGTCACCTTCCCGGCAAAGTATCACAAGCGCCACTTTGCCAACTTTTCAAGAGACACAAAAAACTGAATTGCGACCGTAAAATACGGATGTTTGGCTTGAAACTTGAAATATAGATCCAGCACACCAATAATCCTTGCTTCGAATTTTAATAAAATTTCTTTAAAAAAACGGGTTTTTCTTTGAAAATTGGCGCTTGTGATATCGGCTTCTCGGGGCACTCTGAGAATCTATTGGCGCTTGTGATACGAAAGCCCATCAAATTTAACGGAGTTTTTTTCCATATTTCTTCATTTTTAATCTAAAAAAAAATATTATTTTCGTATGTAAATGCATCTTATTAATTCAAAACTACCCATAACTCAACTTTAATAAAAATAGCGCTTGTGATACTTCGGCCGAAAAGTGACGAATCGCTCCAAGTCATTCCAAAAGTTGTTGATACTATAATATCGAAAATCAATCTCAAAGATGAGCGATTATTCCCAACTTGGCGCTTGTGATACTTTTCTCTTACATGGCGCTTGTGATACGAAAGTTCGTCAACTTCAATGGAGTATTTTAAATATTTATTTATATTTAGTCTAAAAAAAATATTATATTCGAAATAACGAGATGTAATTACATGCGAAAATAATTTTGTTTCAAGTCATTCCGAAGACTGCCGTGACAAAAATTGTAAAACAATCAGAAAGGTAGGCGGTTGCCGAACTTGGCGCTTGTGATACTTTTCTCCCAAATGGCGCTTGTGATACGAAAGTACATCAACTTTAATCGACTTTTATTCATATTTCTACATATTTGTTGTAAAAAAAATGATTATTTTCGTATGTAAATGCATCTCGTTATTTCGGAACTATTCATAACTCAATTTCGGTAAAAATGGCGCTTGTGATACTTTGCCGGGAAGGTGACGATGTATGCTAAATTTCTGTTGATTCAAGTTCAAATTCTCGTTGATTCAATGTATGGTTTAATAAGCTAACAATAATTTTATTTCTCATATTATCTTTATCGATAACATCGTATAGCGCCTTCAAAATCGAAAGTCTGCAATTTCAACACCTGAGTAGCTCTTGTTGTTCCCGTTTTAAATTGCGAAGGTACTTCTCTCGCTGATTGTGAGACGCTAGGAATAATTTGCCGGGAGCGAATGGAGAGAAGGCTCTACTGGTTGGAAACGCGTTCTTATGAAGTGTCAATAGTTTGGATGCTAATTTCTGTGTATTGTTTCATTTCTTATCTCCTTTCCACTTCTCCCTCTAAGATTGTCATTTTTGTTTTTTGCTGCAGGGATCATCTTGTACACGCTCATTCAGTTTCATTCGACCCCGGCCATCATCACGAGTGCTCTCATTGGGCTGGGCATCGTCTTTTGCGGCTGCGCCATGGTACACAACGTCTTTATATGGCAGAAGGTGAGGTCAGCAGAGTCAACTGTCCATTCAGAAATATTATAATGTCGAGACTCTACCAACGACATTAAAGTAGGCGAATTTGATTGACAAATACTTTCAATTAAGTATTCACGATAAAAAAATTAAAGTATCGCACCGAAGGGAATCTAAAAGATACAATTTTTTCTTTTATCACGCTACGTTGAAGTCTAATTTTTCCCAGTGTACCTACCTCAATTTGTAACTTTGAATTGAAGAGAGCACAACTATGGGGAGCAAAAAAGTAAAGACCAAAAAAACATTGCATGTCAGGCTGATGGACTTCGGGTTTCAGCAAAATCACTGATAACTGACCTTTTTCTTTTCTCTTGTGCAGGAAAAGACGAATGCTGTAAAGGAGTTGACTGCAGAAAAAATAGCCAGTCAGCGAGGAATTAGTGTGATATCATCAGCCAAGTTGCGACCTTTACCCAATGCAACTTTGGATCTGAGTTCTGTCACCACTACACCCCATGAACTCTCCACTCTAGTCTAAGTCTGTTGCTCCCAGGAACCTAGCTCTCTAGTGCTAGAATAACTAAGATTTCTTTTAGGAGAAAGAAAGGAACATTCCTGTCTGTTCATGCCGAGGTTGGCCCATGAATTTTTATCATTCAAGAAGGTAGAAGAGAGTGTCAGAAAACACCCTTATTTAGAATATATCTCACTGGGACTTATTTGATAGTCTCTAGAGTGGGTAGGTTCTCAGGCACTTAAAGTGCCACCTAGCCTCTTTCAGATAAAAAGCTATTGTAGGTACCTGATTTTTCTTTCCGTATGGTGGATCTACCGTCAGTTAGCTGTTGGTGTCAAACTAGTGTTCAATTAATTGCAACAATTAAATTTTAAAAAACAATTTTTTTTTTAAAAAAAACAAAAAAATTTAGAAAGTACTATTTTTATTCTCAAAAAACAAAGGCAGGCATAGCTATGAAATTCATAAACATTTGCACAGTTAATAGCTCTGGTTTATCATCTGTATTTTATTTTTTGTTTGTTTTTATCAATTAAACAACATTTGCTGAAGTGTTTAATCTAACTGGTACAATGAATTGCACGCTATATTTCGACCCTGAGAGCAATTGACTATTGCAGTTGAATCCCCTGAAAACTATGAGATGTTTTAGATATGAGTCAGTAAACAATTTCAAAAGGCTTTTGTTCAACTGCATCTCCAAGTTGGAAAGGCATAACTAAAAATTTCCTTAAGAATTTAAGTACAACAAGATCTCCAGAAATACTTACTTTTTTCATTATTGTACATTTTAAATTTTAAGTGCCTTCTATAAAGTGAAATGTTGCACTTTTCACCAAGTTAGGATACTTTTTCTTCTGAAGAACTTAGATGTACAGTCCACAAGTATTCTCAATCTTTTTTATGAGTTATTTGATTTTTACTCAAAAAAGAGAAGATAAACTTTTATGTTCTTTTTTATAGGTTGCTCGAAATCTATTGAAAAGAAATTTAAAGTTAGTTTTCTGGAATTATTCAAGAACTATTATCCACATCATTTGTAGCGGAAAAGAAATCACTATTTATTATATTTTAAAGTTAAAAACCTTTTGAAGACTGATAAGTACATCCTGTTGTTTTATCTTGATCACTGTAAATTGAGTGATAATACAGGCATGAGATATTTTCATATATTTTTCAAGTTCATATTTTCTGAAGCAACCCAAAAAAATTGTCTGTCACTGACATATCTACAAACCTCATACTTAACTTAATAAAAATTTACCCTAGGAATCCTTGTTCTCGCCTCTAGTGCCTTTTAGGTGTTGTAAGTAAGTGTAAATTACTTGTAAAAATTATACATTTGTAAATATAGATATACATTCTGTTTGTTATAAAATTCGATTACTTTTACAAAATATTTTCAATATAAGATGTTTTAAACTACCGAACCTTATTGAATTTTGGATTATTTGTGGGAGTTAAAGATTCCCTTCCCTCCTCCTAAATCTAGACTATTTTTATTTGAGGGAAAAACTTTCTACATCAATTTTTTTTTTTTTTTTTTTTTGATTCTGCAGTTTAATACCAAAACTAGAAAAAAAAATTAGGATGTTATGAGTTATGTAGCACCTTACATTTTTAGGGAGTAAAACAGAACCCATCAATTTGTTTTTACAAAAATATAACACAGTGTATAATAAACACTGATACTCATTGGCGTGCATTGTGACTCAAATTCTAATTTTTGGTTTCTCTGGCCTTTATTTCCCCTCAGAATAGGATGAATAACCTAGCGTTATTCTATCAGTTGGACAAAGACAAAGATTAACAGTAGGTAATGCACCAGTTGCATTAAGTTTCATCCGAGGTAAAGTAGGTCTGAAATTTTATTCCGACATGAGACTTAATGTTAAAGACAAATTTTAAGGACTGTTTTCATGTTCAACATATATTTTCCCCAACTTCGGATTCAAAACCTCTCCTTATTAATATTTCTCAAATTTGACCCGGTGCGTTCCTATTAAACTCTGTTCATATGAGTTTTTTTTCAGTGCCATTGGGAATAGATGCTCTCACAAGTCACAATTCCCGCATGAATTAAACAGCATTTGACAGGGTTTATGAATGAATCTTTAAGATAAAAACACACCAACTCTGGAATTTAAAAATGCCCATATTCCATGAGATATGCGAGATTTCCATAAGAGCCATTAGAGATGACGTACCTATGTCACCTAAGCCCTTTATGTGTTCCAAAGTAATTGTCCTCTGGCTTTTTCTTCGACCAAATTCCTTTCAAACTGCGCTGTTTTTGTATCTTATGAACATTTTCATCTTTCTGAGTTGGTGTTGTTTCATTCTCTTTAATTCAAACTATCCAAAGGAAATTTGAAACATGACAGATTTTAAGGGTATAAAAAAAAATGAGACCCCATACCCTGAAAAGAGTTTAAATTAGTGTTACAAGATTAAAAATAAAGTTCAAACATTCCTTTCATCTAGATCTTGGAGGATCCCTCTTTTAAAAATAAGAAATTCTTCAATGTTTCAAAAAAAGAGAGTGACATTATTGAAAAATTAAGGTTTTGATTGTTTTAAGTACAGAGATTCTCTCAGCCTTAGATATTTTGTAAAAAATTGAGGATCTGAACTGAATTTTCAGTCCCTGAACACAGGTTTGAACTCTCTTTTTTTTTGTGTAAGTACGTGTGTGGTGTACACATGGTTTCAAATATGTGGGTTTGCAGGTGTAAGCCCTCAATGTGATATGTTTTCAACACTAGTTTAATTAGGGAAGTTCTCAACCTCTACATGTTCTGCCACTATTATTTGGTCTATAATGCAGTTACCATAGGAACCCGTAGCCGAGTGAGAAGAATAATTTTTCTTTGCACTTGCTACAGAATCTCATGGTCAGCTGTGTCTGAAAATGGCTGAAATAGCAGCTGTTTGAAAAGTGCGTCAAAAATGGAGACTTCAAGTAAAATCTTATTGGTGTACAATTTACTGCAGTCCCAAAACACTGAAAGAGCCTTTAAAAAAAATAATGCCTCAAGCAAGATTTTACACTTTTACAAACTCCTAAATTGTCTCTCATCTAGAACGAACACAGAAGCTATCAAAAAAGCTACCTTAAAGAGGCTGAGGGTTCTTAAAAAAGAGATGATGTTTTGTGTATCAGAGAGATTGAATATTGTAAGGAAAAGAGTGCAAGGCTACTTTGTGCAGCAAAAGGAGGAGAAGAACACACTTGTGAAATTTTCAATCATACTGGATAGATTGCTGGTTGGTGTTTTGGAAAACAATGAAAAAGTGTTGTGTGGTAACAAGGAGGTCTGGTGTATTCACAAGCATATCAAAAATGTTATGGTGCATTGCAAAGACATTTTATTTTGTAACTCGATGACCAGAAGTACAGTTATCGAGGTTGTGATGAAAGATGACCTGACATGGTGGAGGTTTATCATTCTCACAGCTCTTTTTCTAAGCCAGATTGACTGTGGCGAGATGCATGAATGTAACTCGGAAGAATATGCAAAGAAAGTTGTCAAATATTTGGATACGCAAAACGGATGGGTAAGTTAGCTACAAATGTTGTTCCAACACCTTGACTGGGAATCTAATTTTAAAGCAGGACAACCTATCAAGCTATTTTTGAATTTTTCTGAAGCGAAAGAACAATTTAATCAGACAGTATTAAAACTTAAAAAGTTCAAAAAATAAAAAATTGACTTGTTGAGGAAAGCTCTTCTTTTTTAAGAGGCTCTCCATAATCTGTGTGAAGATTATGCAAAGAATCTTAAAATTGAATATGCTTTTTGAAATTAAAATCATTTCGTTAATTCATTCTGTTTAATAACTCAACTTATCAAAAATTACATCTGCTCATAACTTCAATATAATTAAGCAGGATTTTCAAAATTGGACTAATTGAATTGATCATGAGCCACTTCAAAGTCCTTACACTCTTAAGGAGCATTAAATAGCCTTTTCGACCTTTATCTGATACATTCTCTGCTGAGAAAGTAAATATTTTCTTCTTCTCTAAAAAACTTTTTGGACTTGTGAGGTCTTAAAGTCGATTCACTCCATTGCTAGAAACAAATGTTCTTTAAATAAAGAGATTTCAAATTTTAGCTATTTAATGATGGGGTACTGGACAATTGTCTACTATTATTTTGCCATGTTTAACAATGAATTGTTCCCTCAAGATAAGCTCATCAAACTTTACTAAAGCTCCTTTTCAACATAAACCACTTACTGACATTAAACAGGACTTAGCAGTGCTGTCTGATCACTTTCAAGTTAACATGGCAATGACGCAGAAATGTTTAACTTGGTTACTTGTATAACGAGTTCTGCCTGCTTGAAGACCTGAATTCGTTTTAAACCCTGTTTAGCATAAGTTAGCTTCCTGGTGATTCGTCACGATTTATGGTGTGGTCGAACTGGCATACAATATATCGCATCTGATAGGTAAAAACTCTTGGCAGACTTTGAATTTTTAGCCAAAAAAAAAACAATAGCTCCGGCGCATGAGCCTAAAGAGTCATTCTAAACTAAAATATTGGCAAAATTCAGAGAAATGAAAACAGAATATTTCTTGGAAAAAAAACCCGCATTTGATACAGAACTCAATAATTATATCAAGTGCGAGGTTTTCTTCTGAACAATATTTTGCTTTCATTTCTCTGAATTTTGTCAATTTTTTGGTGTAGGATTATTCTTTAGGCTCATGCGCAGGCGCTATTTTTCATTTCATTCGCTGAAAAATCAAAATCTGCCAAGAATTTGTACTCGAGCGATAGGATATATCGCACGCCATTTCGACCACGCCAGAGACCATGACAAATCACCTTAACTTCCCCATCTGCTTAAGTTAAGGTCTTTCCAAACTGAAAACAACATTTTTACGATCAAAAGTTGTTTCATTCATTGATAACCTTTCTTGATTTTTCAAAAATCTGCTAAAGCACCTCAAAAGCAAATAAAAAACTGCATCAGACATATCTGCAGAAGAAAACAACTTGCAAGACTGATTGATTCCTTTATACTTCTGCGATGCTGGGGTTACTTAGCCAGTCAGACTATGACTTGATACACAGTTTTGCAATATCCATCACTCAACAAAAGAGATTTCTGTACGCAAAAGCTACAAAATTTTACCCATTAAAATATCTTGGAAAAATTCAAAATGTAAAAAAATAACCATAAATGTCAACAGTCTCAACCAATTATATTTCATCGTTTTGAAAAACAAAAGAAAATGACTGAAGCAGGGCGATTGTTGAACATAACGATGAACATAGTTGGATCACTCTTGCTGGATGATGTACACTTACAAAGAAAGGTGCAAGCAAAGCATTGTTTTTCCCCGTTTCAGGTTCATCTGGAAAATTACCTGAAGATTCAGAATGTCTTACACGATGGTTTCCAAGATAATTTGAATGGAGTGGTATGCAGTGTTGTCATCTTAGCCGTTTTTTTCCTGGGAAAATTGTGAATAAAATCAATTTGCCAGGATACCTGCTGGCTGATTGCACCTTTTAGTTCAATCAGTGATGATCAGTTCATATCTTTATGTTACCATCATCAATATTTCATAAATTTTTTTAATTAATTGAGACAAGCAGATGAAGCCTTTTCCAAAATTTCTTATGATTATCAAAGGATCTCTCCAAATGCAACAGCAAAAAAAGAGCTTAACATGATTTAAGAGGGAACTCCGTTCACTCCATTACTTGAGATTTCGGAAAGATTTGTCATTACTCGGATGCATTTTTACTTTGTAGGATGTAAATTATTTCAAAACATTTACCTTTAAGGTTGCATGTAGTAAGATAAAAGATTGTAATATGTCCACGATGGGTAACTTGAAATACTTGTGAGTAGGGTGGAACATGGAAACCTTAGGTCATGGAATCAAAACGCCTGACTCAGCTTTTGAAAACCTTTCAGGATTTAAAGAAGAGCACAAAAGCTTAGTTGGACATAAAAACATCTTCTCTTGGTACATTGGACTTGAAGTTTATCTTGATGGGATATCTCAGCTAATTTTCACTGGTTTTGGGGGCGGATCCCAGCCCTTCCTCACACTCCCAACCATTGAGAAATTCCTAATTATTTATTTACAACACTCGCAGTGCCAGTTAATACGTTTTGGCCTGGTATCAACATCATTGAGATCACACGCAAAGCCTTAAAGTACATTCTGTTTTTGGTCATTGCCCGAAGATGTTTCTATATCCAACTGAGCTTATTTACTTTTTTTTAGGTTGCCAAGTGTCAACGAAAGCCGAGTCATATATTTTGATTCCATGACTTTTGGCCCCCACACTCTTCTCTACTCAAGACAGTTGTAGTTGCAAAAGTGAGTGATAAAGGCTGATTGGCACATATTAACATTTAAGAACCCCTGAACTCTTATATGTGGAGCTGAGCTTATTACCGCGTGAAATGGATGTTCAACTGCTGATTAACATCTCAATCACTGAGCAAATAACCTGTTTAGTGTACATCATGTTAAAATTCAGACAGAACTTAGAAAACTGTCATTTTGGTTTTCAAATCATTAGAGGGTTTTTACGTATCTCACTTTGAAGATGCATAAGTGACGATGAATGGTTTTAGGGTATTATATTAATGTGGGTACATTTGGAGATGGGACGAGTAAATGAATTCGTACTTTAATGACATCTCATGAGCCAAATTTAAGATTTATGGCCTCAGCCAGGCTGATTAAAAACTTTCACACCACTCTGACACGAAAACTGTCTGTTCTACTATGGATAAGATCAAACCCTTTTTTCTATCAAACATTTCTTTATCATTTTCACATACAGTGCAAACAATTTTCAAAAAACCTATTGTGAACGATGATAAAATAAGAAAAATTTAAAAAAAGTCAGAATATTTTCTTTACAAATTATCAATTTATTACTAACAAAAATCAAGTGTGACATTGATCTGTGAGATAGATTTAATGAATCCTGACATTTTGAGAAGTTAAGCTTGTAAAAAATAAAAAATAAAAAAAAACAACAGTTCTTTCTCTTTGCAAGAGAAAACTGATGTTCACAATTTAAACAGGGCTAGAACTTTGTTCTGAGAGGAGTAAACTATTCTTACAAAAAAAGCATAATTACATGTTATTCCTTGAGATGATTCAGTTGAACAAAAATAGTCTCCAGCCTTTGCCATCATTGGCACCATGAGAGTCTTCTGTTGTTCAAAAGTCTTAAATTTTAGGACCTGAGGAGAACAGAGAACCTGACCATTTAGCTGCGAGTGGTTTATTTTTTTTTCTTTCTTCCTCAGCTTTCCGTCTTTCTTCCTGTTGTTCCTGAAAATTCAATAGTTAAATGTGAAGTACACAGTGCACACCTCAGTTCCGATTTAAATCTCATTTGAGAAGAGTTCAGTAAGGGCAAAAAAATCAGGCTACATAATGAGGGTAAAATGCTACCAAGAAGAGACTCCTTTCTCAAAATTTTAAAAAATATCATGCAAAATTTCAGCCTAATCTGTAATGTAATTTTTTTTACTGCAGGTAGAAAAATATAAAATACCGTAGAAAATGACACTTTCGTTTACTATATCACACTTTCCCCGATGATAAACTAGAAGGCATCTAGGCGACTTCATCAATCCTTCACCTCTGGAATCATCTCACCTATTTGCAGCTTGATATTCAGTGTTGTTTTCCTGCTGTAGGTGGGCAAAAATTAAAGTACCGAGGAAGAAACAAATTTTTCTCTTCGTCGGGACTTAAAACATAATATCTCTGAAGAAAATTGATTTAGAAATATTTGCCATCAACACGACTCTTTCTTAAGACCTCAAGAATCTTGGTGCCAAATGTCAATCTGATTCCTTGAGTAGTTTCTCTACACCAAGTGGGCTAACATTAAAAAATAGAAAATGTTTAACGATTCTTTAGGTAGAATTTTCTTTCAGTGGTTGACAGCTGCAGCGGCCACAGGGCACTACTAGTTTCTTCATGTTTTTCCATTTTTAAAGCATGTCAACAAAAGCTTGCAACACCAAAAAAAGGACTGGTAGTCAACACCACAAAAAATGGCTGGTGAAGGGCATATTTAATGACTGGCTTGGGTTGCTGTTCAACAATTCGAACAAAGGTGCGTTGGCTCATTCAAAGGGCCTGATTTTGTCAAGGCCAATCAACCTGTAAGCAATATACACTGAGCCACCCCTAATCTGCCACCTTTTGTAGCACTTTTTGCAGTCACAAAGCCAATCTTGAGTACTAATGTCAACTTGCTGACAGATATGGGTAGATTTATTTTGCATGCAAGTCCAAGCCAAAAATTGATTTAAGTTTATCAGCAAAGCCTGGAGGTGCTTCTGGACCGTTAGATTTGAATTCCTGGGAGTCAATTATCTATGAAAACATATTTTACCGTGGTATAGAATTTAAATCTGGAGGGAGGAGACACATCAACTTGTTACTCAATTAAAAAATGCTGATTAAGTTGAAGACATTTTCTATCAGATTAGGTTCGATAAAAAATCATTATTTACCAGAAACTTGCGTTGATTCTCCTTGAATGTTTCTAAAGGGTCATCGAATTGGCGATAATATTGCAAAACTTCTCGTACATCTTCTACTTGATTGATTGCAATTGCTAAAAAAAGAAAAGAAGAGTTAAGACCGAAAACTATCAGCAAGGCAGAGTGTATAGCATATTATTCTATGGTATGCTTAAAAAGCTATCTAGATATACTTAATGACTGTATTTTAAAATTGAACATCGATTGTAGAGTTTTCAGTATTGTTTTGTAATTACAGGGCGCATTTGTTTTGTGAATCATCTGTCTAGAAAGTAGACCTCTGTGACAATAACGGATTGTGAAACTCCCAAACTTGTATCTCGTTTGGCTTGTTTTAAAATTCCCACACCTATTCAATCTTTTTAATAAGAACCCATCAATGTCATTCCATGAAGTTTTCACAGAATTTTCTTCACACAGAGAAGAATAATCGTGAAAGTTTTAAAGCATTGATGTCGAGTAGTTTTCTGTTTAAAGAATACAGTATGACAGGAGGTCTGCAACATTGCAAACCGAGATACATGGTTTATGATTTTCACCATTCATATGTAATTTAATGAGGGCCAAAAGTTAATAGTAATACTGTCCTAAAGAAAGAGATATATTGTGTAATGTTGACTCCTTGCAAATACGGCCATAATAAATGAAAGGTACTCACTTTGTAAAAATGCTGCAAGATCCACTAAAGTACGGTCTGTATCTTGACCTTTCCATCTTGGGATCACCAAAGCATTGTTCGGGTGCAGCTTGACTGAATCTGGATTCCAGTCGACAACGATTACTTTACTTAGGTCACGATTGATACAGTCCAAGTTTTTTACATGGTGTCCATCGACAAATTCTGTTGCATCTCTTACGAGGCGATATGAAATCATTTGTTTCGGATCTAATGAGTCAATAATAGGGAATACAGTCTGTAACATTCATAAAAACAGCTAAATTAATAAATAGGCTCCGGGCAATACCCTCACTGATTCTGGCAAATACTCTCATCCTCAGTTGTGGTAGCAGAGCAAAAAACAAATTCTCTTTTTTATCTTCAAAACAACTACAGCTCTTAAGGTCCCAACTCTAATCAATTGAACGAAATAAAGAATAATTAACCTAACTAGGTACATCACATATCGCCTAATTGCCTCTCTTTTTTATTTTTTAAATAGAAAGCTCAAAGGAAATTTTGTGAGAATATTCTTCACAATCAATAGGAATTTCACAGAAAGTTACCGGGCATTATTTAATTTTTAGTTTTCTGTTATATAAGTCGAACACGAGAGCAAATTAGGAGACATGGTATATAGTCTGGCTGCTACTAGATATTGCTGATCAGAGAATAGGTTCAAAGTGGAAGTAAAGAGAAATGAGTTTTGTGGGGTAAAATGTTTCCGGTTTCTGAATTATTTTATTATGATGAACAGCCCGATAATTTTTTGCCATGATAATTGATAAAAAGTAAAATTCCAGCACTTTCCAAACATTTCACCGTGCTTCTTTCTAAAAAAAATACTTACAAGTCCTTGCTCAGCGGTATAAATCACTATTTCAAAAAGTGGAGGTCCTACTTTTTCAAGGAAAGCATCAACATTGGGTCGTTTTTTGAATCTCCAGCCAGTTTGATACTAAAAATTAAAGAGAAATAAGATTACAAGAAAAATACATGCACTTAGGTGTAGAAAAAGGAGCGTGGCGCTCCTTTTACCAGTAGTGCAGTAAAGTAAAAGCAAAAGCAAAAGCAAGCAGTAAGCAAAAGTAGTACATTGTTTCAGAAATAACGTTCAACATAATTTTGTAATTGGAAACAATAGTTTAAAATTGACGCAAGAAATTGCAAAACGTTGTTTCAAAAGTATTTTATAATATTTCTGATTTTATTTTAAAATGAAGAGAATATATTTAGGACGATACTGTTTGCACAACATTATTCTGTCTATTGCGGTCATTCCTTGACAAACATTCTCCGCTAGCATTCACTGGTGAATAAAAAGTTTCAGAATATTTGATGTGCTTCAAAAACTGGCCAACTCAGAAAAAATAGAGTCCGTTTTATTGCAGAAAAATTGTTTTCAGGGTGATTTGCATCTTTTATTTCATTTATTGATAGTTTTCATTTTAGATTGAATAGATATGTACAAGTTCCCTTTGCTCATAAAGGACCACATCCATGGTTTAAAAACGCTCATATTTTACTATTGAAGGACTGAAAAGTTATATTTTGATGGCTACAGGGTTCGTTTCAGGATCTAAATAGCATGTGCTTCAAACGTTGTCTTTTCACCATAACTTAGGGCTGAATTCAACTTATTTCCATTTTCTGGAATTTTTCCTTCTTCGCAGTCGGGCACTTTTCGAAACAAGCAGTTCAATTATGCAACTTACCGTCCAATCTGGATGAACTAGTAGATCCGTTAATTCCAAAATTAACGTGTAGGGTGGTTGATGGTAAGGTGGTTCGAGAGGATCTGGCAGTAACTTATCTCTTGAGGGCTTTTTCAACATCTGAAATGATTGCCAAACATCAATGAAGAAAGCAATACTCTTTTGTTAAAGAAAAATCAAAGAAAATCATTATAGGTAGAAACTTGCTATATTAATTTAAGACCAGTTTCAAAAAAATAAACTAGAACTTAACTACCTACAGAGTTCAAACCAAATTAAACCATACTTAAAATAGTGCACTTAATAAAAACATTACGAGGCCCTCAGCAGTGACTTTGTTGATGCCAGTTATTCCTTGTTTTCAACCTTTTATTAGCCTAACTGCGGTACCAATTTCTCGAATTTTTTTTTTTTTTGAAGGATGAAAGAGGCACCCTTTAAAAAGCTGCCATGGCTTAGTTAGTAAGTAAAAGTTTTAAAAAAAGAAAAACTTGCCACCAATGATCAGCAACATCAAGAGCTTCTTTGCACCCTGATTCATCTGACTATTTACTTAACTTACTTTATTCCAACTCTGTAATTCGGCAGCTATCCTTGAGAAGAGTTGTTTGACTGGCGGTAAATGACTAAATTCATCTTCAATAATATTTCCATCTGCATCTCTTTTCTGGGGACCTATTACAGGAAAGGAACAAAACACACAAAATTTAAAAAAAAAACATTTTTCAGAGAACTTAAAGATTTGTAAGAGTGAGTTTTGTTAAAAAATAGTTTCACTCATGGCTTTTATTCTTTGCTAGCAAGGGAGAAGATAGATGAAAAGATTGAAATTCCTCCAAATAATACAGTATGCGGCCCAGCATCCATACACATCCCATACACACGTTCTCATTAGGTAATGCCTAAAGGAGGACCTGATACTACAAAAATTTCAGCCCCACCTCTCCCAGGATTAGCAGATAGGAAGTTTGATTTGAAAAGTTCATTAAATTCAGATTGCTGAGAACGACATATCAAAAAATATTGAAATTTAGCTGGAGCTGAATTCCTTGGTTTTAAATTCAGGATTCTTTGGCTGCTGCCCACTTTCTTCATAAAATTTGTGTTTCTCTTCATGAATAATAAGTGCAAAGAGTAAAAGTAAAATTTGCCCATAGAAATCAATTCAAAATAGTGTTGTTATGAATATACCAAAGATTCTCTTCTATTATTGATTGAGGCCGTATCTTGTGTAGAAAGAGAAGGTACAAAGACTTTACTAATCATGTTGGCATTGAACAATTTTGTAAAATGCCATTTTTCAGCAAACGCTTACAATTTGTTCAAAAGATGAAGTTAGTAGATTCTACTGGAGGCCAGTTCACGCTAGTCTTGTAAGTATTATGAGCTTGTGGGGAACGACAAATTTTGGAGAATTAATTTTACGTGAATAATACATACCCAATTCATAAATTAAAAATCCTCCACCAATACCAAATGATGCACCCAAACAAATAAAACTAAGTTTCATAGTCCGCCAGTAGGATTCTCTTTCTTTCCTTTGAGCTTCCTCATCTTCATCTGGAGGAGCTTTTGACCCTCCTCCTTTGTCTGATTGTGAATCTTGTTTCTCGCTGAAGAGATTTGTGGAAGAGTGAAACAGACACAAAGATTGATTCATACAGCAATGGGGTGCCTTAGAGTTGTTTAGCGTCCTGAAACCACTGGAAGAGAGGGCCAGGGATTCGGATATTCTTAAGTTGATTTGCGAATGCCTCACTGAGGAAGTATAACTTTGACCAAGTTTGTGCCATGCAGTAAAGGACGAGGAAGCTGAAAAACAAAATAATTCCAAGTTCTTAGGACCTGATAAAAATCCGGACAAACTTTGATTTTTTCAAATTAAAAAGAACATCAGATTGCCCCTGAGCAGAGTTAACTTTCATGTAAAATCTTCTCTGCATCTCTTTATTCATCATAATTATGATTCGCCCACCTGATGGCGATAATCATAATGATTTGAATATTGAATAAGTTCAATTCTGTGTGGCAATTGTGACTGCCAATGGCAATAAGTAGGAGGAAGCCAAATTTTGGGGTAGCAATGTCATGTGCCATATTTTGGAAGTTAGTCAATTGATCCCCCTCACCTTATAATGAAGGCTTCAAATTTTTTATGTACGAGGACTCGCTGAAAACATATCCTCAATTTCAAAAAGATTTAAAGTTTGATGGAAATTTCTCGAATTTCTTTGAGGGTGGCGGAAAATTATACATCCACCATAAGGTAAGAGCCAAGGAATAGCGTTCTAGACATATCATTCTTACACTGGCATTTGGTAAGAGCCAAGGAATAGCGTTCTAGACATATCATTCTTACACTGGCATTTGGTAAGTTCATCCTGAAACCAAACCTTCAGTTCCTCGCAATGATGAGACCAAAATACTTGACGAACGTAGTTAAATGTAAACAGGAGCTATGACAACACTTTGTCGCGAATGGAACCTGACGTGAATGGAGGCATGATCCACAACAGGCTTTGACATCCACAGACCAAGGTGGATTCAGAGGAATGTAGCCAAGATTTGAACCTTGATCAACAACTATTTTTCAAGCAGTTCAGCGTTTCATTGCATTCTACTAAACCGTACTCCAGGACGAAAAACAGTGCAATGCCTCATGTTTCATCGTGCACCACTGCGGTCTGGATAAAACAAGTCCTAAGTATACAGATTGTAAGCTACCCACATTAGAAGTTTGGTTTAAAGTTAAGTCCTGAAAAGCATATGTACCTAATTTGGGTTAGCACATACCAATTTCATGCGCTATATTTATATAAATGGCTAAATTTGGAAACTACATGTACCAAGTTGCGGCAATTCAAAATTTTTGGGTAATATGCTTTCTTCTCTCGATGAAAAACTTGTCAGATCAGTATTTCATGAAATTGCTATGATCCCTCTCCTTGACTGTAAGGATGTTCTCAGAAAACTTCTGGTATAAAGTTGGCTCATTCCCGGTGTAAAAATAATACAGAGATAAAACTTGGGAACGCTTGAAAATTCACAAATTTTACGTGATAGTTTCATCATTCTCCATGAACGACTGAAGTGAGACTGAGTCGTGATCAAGATTTAAAGTTATTCACTTGACCATTCTTATGTCAGCCATTAAAGTGTCAAAGTTGTTGTAATTATTTTCTAAACTAGTTTGCTGAGGGTTCAATCAGAATCTGAGAATTTACGCGATTCATACACAGACTTCTTAACCTAAAATTATCGAGTCATGTCTTACCGTAACTCCTGTCGGATGCACTGTTGTGAACTGATCTACTGGAATCATGGCTGAGAGATGCAGAATTGCATGCAGTGACATTCTTAAAATTGTTCACGAAATTATTCAGGAGTTTCTTTGAATTTTTTATACACTTCCACTGAACTCCAGCCATTTCGGCTATACATCAACATAACCAAGAAAGACCGACCACAAGCATGGCTGGTTCAAGAGACGGAGAATGATATTGGGGCAGAGGGGGAGGAAGAGAGAGGGAGCAGGAACACCCAAAAACTTTCACAGTTCCTGGTTAGCCGTTTGTATCCAGTCTTCCCACCGGCAGTACATTGATGTACAGCAAATTGCCTACGTCGCCAACGCATTGCTTACAACTTATATCTTATTATATTATGTACCTCAAAAGTTTAAAATGCTAACCAAACCATGGCTCGCCTTGTTAATCAAGTGTAGTAAATTAAATCCATTCAAATATATTTATTAATGCAACATTCTCTTCTTCTGATGCGCGGTCCTGCGATCGACCAAGAGTGATTGATATCTTCTGTGATATCTCATCGCGAACTTCCGGAGACATGTTTACATTTCGGCTAAGGTTAGAGACCGTCGTGAGGTTCAGATTACGCGAGCTGGAGCTGATTGAATTTGGACGCGAGTAATTTCCTGATGTGGTCGCAGTTGTAGTTTATTATAAAAACTATTGTAGATATTTTTGTAAGAAATTTCATACTAGTTTAAAGCGTCCCCAACTTAACCTTAAACTTCGGTGATTTCTTGCAGACGTGTAAACAGTCTAATTCAGTGATTAGTGTTGTGGATATGGATATCACATCTTAGTCTGCAAGCCATGAGCTATTCCGTTTGTTTATCTCATTTTTTACCTGAAGTCAGCTTGTGACTCTATGTTGACCAAATGCATTGATGATATTTTCTTAAACTCTGTGACTTAATATGGTGGAATAAATTTCACCATGGCTTACTCGGTTTGTATACTTTTCATTTTAAATTGCCCATTAGTTTTAGTATCCTAGTAGGCCTCTACTACCTAATCCCCGTAGACTCCATTGACTTGGAACCAGTCTTGTGATACCACTCTCTGTCGTATTTCCTCTGGTTCTCTGTGAACAAGCTCCTATACATTACTCATGAGTCTGACCCTGTTGCATACGCTGACAAATACCTGTTGTGTCAAGGTACCCGCAAATGAAAATACTGAAATCAGTGAAAGTCGGTAGTAATCACTTTCATTACCTCTAACGGCAAATGATGGATAACTGGGATAAAAATAAGTCCTTCGAATTTCCCCCTATCTTATCCCCTATTTCTTTCTGTAGTCTTGCAACTGTAATGAAGAAGTCTGTGATTCAAGATGAGTCGACAACAATCAGAATTTTTCTCCAATTGAACAAGAGAGTTGCAGAAGTTTCTTTCAAGTGCTTCCTAAATCAACCTCTTTTGAATCCACTGAAAACATCCCTAATATTTTTCAGTCTCTAAAACATGTTATTGCATCTAATTGATAGTGTTTCTCTCTCCATTTCACACTCAGTTTCAATTTTTGCTAAGCTGTCTCATGCGTCGCATTTGTTTGCATGTGCTATTCGCTAATAAAAATTATTTCCTTTGCCATGAGTGCCTACCTTTTTCAAGGCCTCTTCAACTGTGGGCCTCAAACAACAGTAATTCGGTTGCATGACAACCCACTTTTAGCTGTCCATAGCTGCAATCATAGTTCTCACACACTTGTTCCAAAAGTTAATTTTTGGGTAGATTTTTGGAAGCATCTTTAGCCGCCAATAATTCATTTTCTCCACTGTCTTCTATGAAATTAGTGTATAATAAATTCCCTGTCATTTTATATCCGTAGTCATCATGGTTATGTATGTTGCTTCAAAAATTGCAATGAATACATGTGATCCCTTATCATCAAGCTTTTAAGTTCTTCTGTATCAAATTGAAGTTAGTCCCCCAATTTGGTAGTTACTTTTCTGCAGTCGTTATCTAAGCGCATTGATGAAGTAATGGTGAAGGATCGCTTGAACTGAACAATGAGGGATACCTAAAGTTAAAACTGAGGCTTCTTTGATACCAAAAGATAGGCTAAGAGAACTGCGAGAGGTATACTTCATACTGGACCAGCATTTAGGTTCTGTGTGCATCTCCCTTTAATTTGAAGGAAACCCAATACTCCAGTGATTAAGTGAAGCTCGCTTATCATATTTTGAGACAATCATGTTCATGTCAGCTCTCATCAGTCTTGCCATTGGAAAACATGCATCAACCTGTTGAGAAATGCTGATGGGAGATTAACTTCTACCTCAATATATGATGACTAAATTGTACCTATTTTATTTCGCTAGTAAGTGCTCAGTCACATTGATAACATGACATGCAGATTTGATCCTCCAAGTGAAGGTCTCCCTCTTGGAGTTTAAAATTGTTTCTCAGCTGTAACTTTAAAGTGTATTGTTAAAGTAAACTTTTTAGAGGTGTCATTAGCTTTTTTGTAATTTGTTTTCTTTCCATTTGCTAGCGACGGCAATGTAGTTGTCCTATAGGGATGGAGGATTGACTTCGCTCATGATTAAGCCACGGTCAATCCTTGATCGTTATTGGATGATTGCATCACGATAGCTTGCAAGTGGAATGTAAACAAGTACCAACGGAGCTGACAACACCTCAAAGAACATTTGGAATTGAAATCAAGTAATGCTAAACTGTTAACATTATTCAACTTCATTTGAATCATCTGAGGGTTTACATGTTTTTTACTTTAAATGCCCAATACTGAATGATTTCTAGAGGTCGTTGGGACTGTTGCATTCTGTAAACAGTAGGACTAAACGATATAAGGTAAGTTTACTTCGATAATGCACCTTTAGTTACAGCTGGTCAGGTAGGCATCTAGACATAGATGCTTCTAGGAATGAATTGATCTCATCATCACTGGAAAAAATCATGAGAACCTGGACAAGATTTAGCAAGTGAATATGCATTGCTTGTAGTCAGCAGACTATCCTAACAGCTTTGCCAAAGCCCTGCAAAACAATTTTTTTAAAACCAAATTTGCCTCAACGGTCCATCTCCTCATAAATGTACCTCTATTAATTCTTGACTTAGCCTGTATGTCTAATGAATTATACTGTAGAAGGGAATTCAGGAATCTTATTAGGTTGATTTTATCTATCGTTTACTTTATCATGGCTCTATTTAAATGGAATTAATTTCTAATCATTCTGTTTCGCAGTGTGTCAAGGTGATTTTTGAAATTGGCCATGAAGCAGCTCTGCGTAACAAGCGCACCCAAGAGGGCTTTACCCATGACTGGGAAGTTTTTGTCCGGGGTGCTGACAATACCGACATCCACTACTTTATTGATAAGGTCGTCTTTCATTTGCATGAAACCTTCCATAAACCAAAACGAGGTATGACCATTTTTTTTTGTAAAACTGTAGCCTGCTGAAAGTACCAGCAATAAAATTTTAATGTCCAAGATGATTCTCCATGTAAAACCACTTGCTTTATTATTCAGCTAAATAAGTCTGTGAAAGAGTGCCAAATTTCATTTGACCCATCAAAAATCTCCAAGCGAAATGTCAAGTTTCTCCTAGGTTTTATTCAAAGCTAGCAAGTTTTCAAATTCTGACAGTTACAAAGAGGAGAAACCAATCAGAAAGTGTACCTATTTAGTGAATTCCTAGATTGTTGGCGAAATGCATTTGGCAAGTAAAACCCTCTAAACACCTTCAGCTACCATCTTTCTGACCCATTCAAATTTCAAAAACTTGAACGTGTACAACAAATCCAAATTATCCATCTGCATCTCTTTTCGATTCATTGTCAGTTCATTTATGTCTTTCCTTTTACAAGATTTGCCTACAAAATCGTTGAGTTAGGTTCTACTTTTTATCATGTACTACTTGTTATCCTCCATCTTTACCTCTGTTTCCTTTTTTAGTTATTAAAGACCCGCCGTACAAGGTTAAAGAGTCCGGCTATGCTGGCTTTTCTTTACCGATTGATATCTATGTAAAGTCAAAAGATGAACCACGAAAAATCAAATTCAATTACGATCTCACTTTGCAACATAGTGGTCCTCCAATCTCAAATATAATTCGAGAAAAGTATATCTTCAACAATCCTTCAGAGGACTTTCGACGGAATCTAATCAAAGGTGGTGGTGTAAGTATGAACTTTTTAAATTTACTATAGCTTTTTTGTGAGCAGGATTCAACCCTTAACTTGAATGTTTTTACAATTTTTAGTGATGTGCCCTGACCTTAGCATTGCCTTTACATAGCAGTTTACCAAGAATCTCCATGGCTTTTCTGACCCCTTGAAACAGGCGGCAGAAAAACAAGTTTATGCTGTGCCAATGATCTAAAATGTTAGCCTATCAATGCGCACATACTTTCTTTCATGAAGGGTGATAAAGCTCGTTCAACGTAATGAGAGACAAACAGCAAATCTTGTTTACATCATTACTCATCTGTTGGGTCATTTTTTTTACTCAACATATGATGAGCAAGTTCTGGGTAATATTGCTTGAATTGTTTAACTTAATCTAGGTAAATTTAGCTAAAAAAAAAATTATCTTCCTCCGTAGTAAACACCTTCTGTACAATTGGGTGTAAAGTGACAGCAAACAATCTGCAGTCTAGATTTTAAATTACCTCACAGTTATTACCTACAAATTTTGGCCGATCTGTACTGTCACTGCGTTTGGTGCCTTTCCTAACAGTAGATGTAGAAGCATTCAATAATTGTTCACATTTTGTTTGTTACAGATTGGAGTTGGCAGTGAAAGTTTAACCAACAATAGTCACAGTAATGCTAGTTTAAATTGTATTACTTCCGCAGCGAATAATGAAAATAAAGTACAGTCTAGTTTATCATCTAAGTCAAAACCTACCAGTGACAGTCAGTCTTTGAAAAAACACAAAGTCAAGGTAAGTTTTTTTTTTTTTTTAAGGCTCCTCCATTTTGTCCGCACGGTTGATGTCTAGTTCAGTCTTTTTCACAATGAACTCTATGTTTAGCAACCTGGAGTTTATGCCAATTTTTCTCTTAGATCTTTTTCTACTCATTACAAAAAGGTATTATCAGAGCTGGATATAAGTTTTTGCCGCCCAGTGCAAAATAATTCCCTCCATGGTCCATCTGTCTGGTGTTGTAAATGATGAGAATGTAGGGCAACGAAGGATGGCAGGCAATGTAGTGGAATTGGGTTAAAATTTCTAAATGAATCAATATCAGTAATATTAACTGAAAACTGATTGTGCCTTTTAAATTTTAAGAGGAAATATCATCTCTTTACATGTACTGTCATGGGGGCGTTTCTTATTCAAGTCTTAATATCGACCTCCTGTCCAAAGGATTTGATCCCAAAAATGTTGGATATCTTAAACTTGGAAAATATTCCTCCATTAATCATAATAATATTTCAAAGATCCAGCTGAGGTTAGAAAAAACTGCTCCAACTAAGGTTCCTTGGGGCCCCATAGACTTGAAGATCTATTAACTTGAATTCTGAATTATTTGGTAAAGTCAATCACTACATTTTAAAAACCAAATGCTGCAGTGTGTAGAGATCATTAGAAAAACTCTCATTGAAAATAAAAGCTGAAGGAAGTCAGTCTTGTAGCCTCGGAGGTCAAAAACAACAAAAACCTCAAACTCAAGCGGTAATACATGTATCACTGCCTTGGTTCTCCACGTGGAGTCACGAACCTAACTTTAGGTGCTTCTTGCATGTAAACTGAGGCAGTTGACTCAAGAGTTTGTACCCCACCTTGGGCTTTTGATTTCTCCCAATTCGTTTTTTGGGTTGACAATCCCATTAAACACCCTAAAATTTTCATAATCTTATGCATTATCATTCCTTTCTTTTTTTTCTAGGAACCATCAAAAGCAGATGACATTAAACCAAGTAATTCATTTGCTGCTCTGTTTGGAACACCTATTAAAACTGTCAAAAAAGAAAACCAACAAGTGTCAAAGCCCTCAAATAAAGCTAGTTCTGCTACTGAGAAACACTCATCAGAGAAACAGGTGCGACAAACTTCTTCCTATCCCCCTACAATTTTCATCCTAGCTTTCTTTGCAGTGAATGGGCTGAGAAATGTGGTCGAAGTTTTAACCTTTCTCATCTAGCTATGTGATCTTATTGCAACTGAAATAATTAGTCAGTTTTACCCTCCCAAATGTTTCTTCAGAAGACCCCTCTCTAACTTATTAAACACCATCCTCTTGGTAATTCCCTAAATTCAGTAATGAATAATGTTCAACTGCAGAGGTGAGTACACAAAAAGTATGTAGAGCACAATAGTATGCGCTTAGAGTAGGCACTTTAAGTTAGAAGTGTCAAAATTGAGAAACCTGGATCTCAATTATGACTGGCAGATTTAATTGCCTATCAATGAGATTGTAATCTTCACTTTGCATTTAAAATTTCAGCTAGAATGCTTTATCTCTAATGTGTTTTATGTTCCTTCTCAACAGGTTCACTCATCTGAAAAATCATCGAAACACAAGAATGGAGCACATAAAGAGAAGGCGCTCGTCAGCTCTAAAAAAGATCATGAAAAAGATAAAGAGAAAGATAAAGATAAAGAGAAGGAAAAAGAAAAGGACAGAGAAAAAGATAAGGAAAAGAAAAAAGAAAGGGAAAGAGAAAAAGAAAGAGATAAAGAAAAAGAAAAGGATAAGGACAGAGATAAAGAAAAAGTAAAGGAAGAAAAACTTCAAAATCAGCCAAGTAGTAAAGAGAAAGTAAACCTGGATAAAGTTCAAAACCAGCAGAGTCTCAAAGAGGAGAAAAAGAAAGAAAAGCAAGAGAAGCAAGAAAAATATGAAGACAAACTGAAAGAGCATAAGGAGAAAGAAACCAAAGAAAAGTCGGATAAATCAGGTAAAAGTCACTCCGAACTGAAATTAGAAAAGAAAAAAGAAAGGAAAAAAGAGAAGGAAAAGGAAAAAGAAAGGGAAAGAGAACGAGAAAGAGAAAAAGAAAGGGAACGAGAGAAAGAACGTGAAAGAGAGAAAGAAAAAGAGCTTGAGCTGAAAAAAGACAAAGAAAAAGATAGAGAAATGGATAAGACTGATAAAGTAAAATTAGACATTCTTATCAGTAAGGAAAAAGAGAGTGTGAAAAAGTCTCCCAAAATACCAAGTATCAAAGAAGAAAAAGTAGAAAAAACAAAAGAAATTAAAGTCAGCGAAAAAGAAAGACCAGCAGAAGAAGAAAAAGAGAAGCACCGGCATCATAAACACAAGAAAAAAGAGAAGCAAAAGAAAGAAGATTCTGCTGCGAAGGAAAAGACTGAGAAAAAACTAGATAGTAAACAATCAGAAACGAAGCATAGTGAGATTAAGAAACCGTCACCTGCTCCAATGCCAAGGCCATCAACACCTGAGCTAATGATTAAACCAGAACCGCCGAGCCCAAAGAAAATTAAGAACCCTCTTGGAGCTCTGCTTGATGAATTGTCAGACAAGTCTGAGAGTGATGCCATGATGTCGTCTGAAGATGATGAGCCTTCCATGTCTTCACCACCACCTTCCCCTCCTCCTCCTGTGCTACCTCCTGCCATCAAAGATGAACCTGCTGAAATGTCAAAAATCACCAAGCAAAAGGATAGTGATAGTGACGACTCAGTAGTAACTGTCATTAAAAAAAGGGGAGGCAGAGCAAGAGAAAGGGATAGTGACAGCGAGGATTCTATCATAACAGCTAAGAAGAAAGCAAAGAAATCATCAAAAAGCGACAGTACCAAAGATACAAGTAGCACAAAAAAACACAAAAAGAAGAAGAGTAAAGAGAAAGACAAAGAAAAAGATAAAGAACGGGAAAAAGAAAGAGAAAAAGTTGAAGAAATAGTTCCTAATAAATCTAACACAAGGCTTGAGTTTTCAGATACAAAGCATGCAGAAAATGAACAGAATAACCATATTCTAAGATCTCCAAGTCCTGTAAAAAGGCTCGTCAAAGAAGAGCGTAAGTCACCCCAATCATGGTCGCCTGTTTCACCAGAGCTCAAATTCACAGATGAATACGTAACAGAGTTGAAGAACCTACAGCGAAAAATCATGAATTTAGAGGATGACTCAGAGTTGCAGAAGGTTGTCCAAGTGATAGCAGAAACCGGGCAATATGAAATTACCAAAGAAACGTTTGATTTTGACCTTTGTACCTTAGATAAGAATACCGTTCAAAAACTGCAGAATCTATTTCTCACTGCCCCTTCTTGACGCCACCTTCATTAGATAAAAAGTCATTGTTATGGGTAAGTACATACAATCCATTCTTCTTTCAATTTCATGAAGAGTCACCAAACCTCCCCCCTCCCCCCAAAATAGTAGTTTCTATCGACTTTTCTCTAAGACTATCCTAAAAAAATTGAACCCTTGTATTTAGTGTCCCGACAAACCCTCGTCCAGGTGTGAAGTAATTATATAAATCTATTGAAAATAAAAAGCACAAAAAAATACTGGTTTTCCGCCATTTTTAGGTCGCCATCTCATGAGGAATTAGGTATTTTGAATCACTAGTATTGAGTTCATGTTCAGAGTTCCAAAAAACTACCGGATACCAAGTTCGGAGCAAATTTATTCATTGGTAGCGAAGATGATGTTTTGGCGGTTTTGAACTTAACCTACCACCATAGATAAAAACTTGAACTTTGTCTCAAAAATCTCCTTTTTTCAAGCCCTCTCCACTAATGTATCACAATGTAGGGGTCGCTGTCTGAAAAGAAGAGTTTGGGTCCAAGCCGCCCCCCCCCCCCATCAGAAGGGGTTCTTTTCAAAATTCAGAGACAAAAAACTAGTTTTTTTTTACCCAGGAATACTTCAGAAGTTTCAACTCAATAGTTCATATACCAAAAAACCTATCAGAGTGGTGAAAGACTTTTGCAAAGCTAAAAGTAAAAACTAAACTGGCACCTAACAAGAGATTTTTCTTGTACGAATTTTATTAAATCAGATTTTGTCACTGAATTTCTTAAGTTACATGCCTTTGAGAGAAAGTCCTTTTTACTTTTCAGTTCTGTGATTCTAGCAAAATTGGAGCTATCATTTGATTTTATAGAAGATTGCTGTTACCACTTCTTTTTGGGTCTTGATTCATCCTTCTTTTGTAAGTGTTTCTTCAGTCAGTCACTCACTAAAGGTATGAGTTTTCTCTTCTTCGCACTTGGGATCAAATTATAAATAATTTTCTCATTGATTTTCATGCCCTCATTAATTTTTACTGTTTTAACTCTTACACACTTTTTGTCCTGATTTTCACTTGCCTAACTGTATGTCATTTTACAGTAATTTTGGTGCCGATGTTGCCAAAATATTTCATAATGGGTCAAATTTAATAAATACCCAAATAATTGGCGTATTTTATGAACGTTTTAGAACAGCATTAATGGTTCCTAGTGGATGCTCAGAGCTCACTTTCTTTTTATATTAAGCTGATTGAGTTAGTCAGTTTATTATGCACATTTAAAATTAATTAATCCATTAAGTTTATCACATTTTGGATGGTCACGCAGGCTACTAAGGTGTAGGAGTGCCACCAACCCATCCCATTTTTCAGTTTTGCCTCTTGTCTGCAGGCAGGGTGACAGCTAATCCAATTGTTCAAATGCTTTTTAAGCTATTGCAATGGGAGCAAGTGTAGGTATGTAGTGCAATTTTGCGGCCTCTTCAGTCCAATTTTAGTACATAAGTTGCCACATAATTCCTTCAAAATGTGAACTAACCTTGCCAAAAAGCTCATTTGTCAACTTTGGAAACAATTGGTATAGAAGAAGAGGAAAAATTTTGAAAGAAATCAACAACAGCTGCTGTTGTTCAAGCAATTGCTGAATGTATAAATGTATTCAATGTATTGCACCTGTTTGATTTAAAAATATTTAACTAAAAATTTGGGTTGAAGCATAGAGAAAAAAGAGAGGGTGATTGCGAGTTAATAAAATTATAAAGCTAGTTAATTATTAAATGTTAAGTTTTACATATTGATGTCACTGGGTGCATGCAAATATCAGCTAAAGGAGTGTACCTAGTCTTTTTTTTTAAATATACAGTAGTAAATTAAATTTTAAACAATTTTCATAGGGTACAATTTCTTTATGGATTCACTGTTTCGGGATGTTTGCGATTAATTTTTTTGTGACTAGTGATGTCACATGTCTGCAAAAGTTAACTTTGCAATCACTTTCTGTTCTTTTTCCTAGATGACTTTACCAGATTTTCTGATCAAACAGGTGCAAAATATCAAAATACACTGGTTTAATCACAGTAGATACTGCTGTTGAATCTTTTTGATAGCTCTCTTGCATAAAACTTGAATTTGATACTGTGCTTTCTCTTGAATTCCAATAGTTTCATGTTAAAGATGAGATTGCATAATTTACGTAATCTGAATTTTTGGTATCCAAAGAAGAAGAAAATATCCCTCAAAGAGTGTATCTCATGTGGCATATTTTTGCGTTTCATATTGCATCTCAAATTCAAGTAAAATAGTATTTAGTCATATTTAGCCTCCTCAGAAAGCTGTGAACATCCACAACAGACCAGGCTTAATCATAGTTCCTCTTACTGAATTGACAGTCTTTTACGTTTTATTCATTTATTTATGTATCTATTTATTTATTTTTTCTTTTGTTCAATTAGTACTCAGCATTGATGTGTTGTTGGTTGAGAATGTACTTCTCTCCTTCCACCCACAATGCCCCCAATTCAAGCCAAAACTTGCTTGTTTTATCTTTTATACATTTCTCTATAACTCATAATGTACTCTTCAAATATCCTTACAATTTCTTTGCTCCTCTAAATTATCGTCCTCATATCTGTCTTGTAAATTGTATTTCATATTGTTTGATGAATTTCATTGACCAAGTTCTTTATTAGACTAAGTCTTGTTACTTATTTTCGTTTTTATTTTTATCTTTTGTTTTGTTATTTGATTTTTCTCGTTGATTGATTTTTACCGCTCCAATCCAATTTGTAGTTCATGCTGTGAAAAGTGTGCATGGGGTTGTCAGTCTTTTCGGGGCCGAGCATATGTAAAGTAGCAAAATAAAAATAATAACTAGACAGTATTTTTTCCGCATCAAAAAAATATTGGATGATTTTAGTTGATAGGAATTGTAGCATGGCAGAGATGTACATAATGATGTTTCAAACTTCAATGTCTAAATGAGGGGTACTAGTTTATGGAATTTCGTGTAAGAAAAGAGTAGAGCCCGTGTTCTAACTCAATACAAAAATTTTAGGAGCTATTTAGTAAGGAAATCAAATTTTGGGGCGCCAACTTTACTTTTTTAGGAGCCATAAAGACCTCTAACTTGCAAAATGCAAGGGCGCAATGAAAACCAGAGCTGTGCCAATGTCTCAGATGTCTTTCTTAGTCAATGCCTCTTATTTTGACACATTTAAGTCTGATTCTTAGCCACATATGGTAAATGGCGTCCGTTGAAGTTAAAACACTGTATGAAACAGTTCCCTTTGTGGGAGTGAAGGGGCCAGACAGAACTAGAGTCCCAATATCAAGTACAGTACATCCTTTTTCCTTCCTTTTCTCATTTCATCCTCCTCTTCTGGCTCACTAGGAATTGTCTTTCCATTCACCTTCCTTTCCATGAAATCTGTCCTTACATCTCTATCTTCATCTAATTTTTTTAATCTTACAACGAAACATCCACAAGAATGTCATTGGTTCGTTTGTGTACCTCAGATGAGCTGAGTCTACAGTATTCCTCAGGATTTTTTGACTCAGATAATGTACGGAAGTGTCAACAAGCCAGATAACATACCATACAGTAGTGTTATTTAAAAATAGATTTCTTTTATCAAAAAAACGCTCTTGTAAATAATAAAGAGCAGAATGTCATACGTGTCACTGTAATATTTTTGCCCACACAATGGAGGAAGAACTTTTAGAAGGATGGTTTATTCTCTTTTTTTGATTAAGCTCAACAACCCTCCGACACTCGCAAATGCTTTATTCCTCGTATTGTAGGATGATATGTTTTATACTTTCTTTACATATCCATAGAGGAATCTATAAATTATATGATCAAAGGATTTATTCCAACTGTGATGTTTGTCGTTTACTTCCTCATTTTGGACAGTTATTTCTTTCATATTGGCATATTATTTTCTGATAATTTTTTTGGCAATCCCTGCATAGACCTAATTTTTTTTGGCAATCCTTGCATAAAACTATTTTTTTTTTGGCAATCCTTGCATAGACCTAATTTTTTTGGCAATCCTGGCATAGACCTACATACAGGAGGACTGTATCAATAGTTAAAAGACGATACCCATCATTCCCTTCGTCTCAATCAGTTAATTTTTAATTATTACATTTAGAGGATCCTTTCAGCCTACCTATGTATTCTTCTACCTGTCTTTTTCTACTTGAAATCTTTTAGTTAGTAATTTTTTTAATGTTTTTCGTACCTGTTTTAAGAGTTGATAAATGTTAATAGCATGTTTTAAGAAAGAATTTTATGAAAATTTTTGTTTGATCAAGGAGCCATATCAATGAGTCATACTTTTTCCCTAAATACTCTCAGAGAATTATTACAGTTTATTCCATAAAATCATGTATTTAACACCTATCCAGGGTATGTCAGAAAATATTTTCGAAGTCTAGACTCCATGTCCATGGGAACTTTGGTTCTATCCGCCCATGAATACCAAGAAAGGTGAAAGTTTCTCCTCCTTTTCCTTAAACTTTGTTTCAGTCATTCTCTGCTCACCCTTGTTTGAATTCAGATTTTAGCTAGAACCAGGGTTTTCCTTGAGGAAGAGCGGAAAGGAAAACCTTCCCATCAATTGAAGAGCCTGGTTTCCCCTATTCCCCCCTTTAGTTGCATCTTTTTATAAATGCATCACTTAAAGAAAACAAACAATGATCTTTTTCAGAAATTCCTCCCTTTTTTTACCTTAAAATGGTGAACATTTGCCCTGCAACATTAATCAACGTTTCTTTAGAAAGAATTTATCAAGAATGAATACCTAATTTTCCTATTTTTTGCTCAAGATTAGAAAGAAAGCCTAATTAAGTAAGATTATTAAAGAATACTATGTTTGGTTTGTGTCTCATCGAGGAGAAGAGGTAACCCCTACGGCAATTGTTTCCCAGTTAGCAAATAAAATATTATAAAAATAACGATAGTAGCAGCAGTTGGCTGGTTAAATCGAACAATTAAAATCACCTATGTACAAGCTCATACCTAATCATTTTTTAATTCATTTGGAGATGCCTCTAAAAAATTGAGGGAATGAACATCAGTATGATCTGTATTATGCATAATGCTCTAGTTTTGATTAATGAGGTCAAAAGCCTTTACTACATCAAAGTAGAAGCCAAAAACGGAGACATCATCTTCTGTTACGCTATAGATTGAATAAAAAAAACTTCTACTCAGATAGTTTGAGTTGTTAACAACTCTTTTAACTTGAATTAATCCAGTTTTTGTCGGCAGTTACTTTCAAAATGGTTTTCCAAGTGGTTAAAGATGAGCCTCTGAAGAATTATTGGAGAAGTTTTCAGTTGTAGACATTTGCTTGTAGTTACCGATCAATTTCTCACCTTCACCTTAAAACGAATAGTGGGCATGTAATTTACCTCGTAAATTGTATAGTCAACGACAACAACAAAATACTCTCATTTGCAATATCTCTTTCAAACATCAACTGTATTAAATTGGGATCGCCTCTTTTCAAATTTTAGCATTTTATTGCTGCAGACACCAACTCATTTTAATTTTTTCAAATTAGTAAGTCATTATGGGGATCTATATTTTAAATTTTCTGCTTTAGAAGAAACCGGATAATACTATCACAGGGTTAATAGTATATATATATTGAAACGTTAAAAGAAACTTATAATCTTTTTTTGCTTCACAAGTTGTATTAAGAACCTTTCGTTTCCTCTTGGGACCCAATGTCAACTCTTTTTGCTGCAATATGGGCCTAAAATTTTGAACCTTTGTATCGATTTATTTGTTAAAAGCTTTACTTGAAACTATATGATAAACTTTGTAAACTTTATGTGACATGAAACTAGATTAATGCTCTGTGTTCTTCTTGCGGAAGAGGTCAAACAATTGATAGTTGACGTCCGAAGTGAGCATGTAATTCAGGGTATCGGATCTGGTTTTTTTACAGCCGCTATGATTTGCAAGTTTCTTGCTGTATGGACTCACAGGTTGTTGTATTAATGGTTAGATCTACATATATGGACGGTGAAGCTCCCAAACCATGTACCTTGTTTGCGGTATTTGAAAATCTTCCCTCCTCTTTTAATTTTTTATAGGAGAACAAATCAACATCATTCCCTGAAATTTTTTCAGAATTTGCTTTGAGTAGAAAAGAATAATTTTGGAAGTTTTAATAGTAGATTTCTCCATTTAAAAAATGAAGTATGACAGGAAGTCTGCAAGATCAATCAACCAAACCGAGATACATTGTTTGGGAGCTCAACTGTCGATTCATGGTCTCATGAGGTAATTTACTAAGTTGTGCCAAATCGGTTGTATCATGGTGTTGTATTATGCGACAGACACAGAATAACAAAATAAGTCCAAAGCCCAAATTTCTACTCTTTAAAAGAACAAGGACATCTGTTTTAGAAATAAGGTGAATGGTATTGTATTTCACCGTAGTAGTGCATACTGTCGTTTCTTTTACCTTTGATTCGACACTTAATATAAGTGTTGCCCACATTTGCACAAGCACAATTCCATATACATCACGGACTAAGCCATGGTGGAAGAAACCATAGTATTCATTATTGCGGTGTTTTTAAAAGTTGTTTTTGAAAAAAGGATATCTTGGATATGATAATTTACAAACTGAGATCCCATCATTTCTGATAACCTATTTAATTAAATCATAAAAAAAAAGGTATAAAATATTTTGTAAGGACATCTGACATATTATTCAGTTTTATCCTTCCTATTTCATATTTTGACAGAAAATTCTGGAAAATTTTCCATGAAGTCTCTACTTTTCCTGTTGATGTTCGTTCTCTTCTTCATTCAATAACAAGTATTAATGCCATCTGTTCATCAAGGTAGATAGAGTCGTTACTAGACCTAGGGCGTTGATATTGCTCGAAGCAAGGAACAGCACCTTCATTGACCACAACTTGTGCTAAATTTATAAATCCAGCCTCCCCCTTTTCTCCTCAAAAAAATTCTCACATCAGTAACATTGATTCCTAATTTCTGGTTGCAGCATCATTTGTCTGTATTTTTTTTATCTGTCAGTAAGTTTTCCATAGCAAAGCAAAATTTATGTTTATAGTCTTACGAATAGGCTCAGTGACCCTTTTTTGACCTCCAGTTTCTTGTATTTTTTATTTTACAGTGTTTCCACAAAATATAATATGTCTTTCTCGTTAAAACTATCAAGAATGCATACTTAGAAAAACCATTTTAACTTTGTGAGGAAGAAACTAGAGTTAACAAAAATTCCCAGCCCTGGTGGTGGGTTTCTCGTCAAATATTTGATTGAATTTAAGTTTTTGAATAAATACATGTGCAATTTCACTTTAAATGCTTAAAGTATTAAGTGCGACTTATTATTTTAGGTGATAAAATGTTTCATTAACTTTGTTGATTGTTTTGTCGTATCAAGTTTCTGTACAGTGCAGTCTGCAAGTTTTGTTTATTTTTATTTATTCCTCCCTTTTTTTATTCATTTTATGTGACTATATTTATTTGTGTGGTTTGTATTGTAAAGTAAGGGCACTATGCAAGCAGAAGTTGAGGATGCTTATGGACTTCAGTTTATGAATATTCTCTTGAAAGTAACTGAAAGCTTCTCAAAGAAGCTTCAAACAAAATTGCGATTTCCAAGATAGGCTCCTGGAAAATTACCATCGATTTCTAGATGTTGGAAAAATCCTTGGTATTAGAGGATTATAGATCAAAACATGTCTGTTTCCTAAGAGGAAAGGGTGATTTTGTGCAGGTATTCGAAAACTTTACACTGAGTTCTCATTACTTAAGATTAACCCTGCCTCCCAGTATCCAAAAATGTTATTTTGCTCAACTCATCATTTCTCTCCCAAGACTTTCATAGTTTATAGGACCAAAAACTACACCTGCAAACAATTTTTTGATCAAAATACATTTTTCTTCAGTCCCAACAAAGCCTTTCCAACTTTTTGATTCCATTAGAAACAGTATCAATAATTGCCAAAATCTAGCAGTCTCATGAGAAGAATTTCTGCAGCTGGATGTGGTTCACTTTTTTGATTTGATAGGCAAGGCTGTAACCTCCCAAGAAACTCTTAAAGCTCAAACATTTGCGTTCACTTTAGTAGGTGGGTCAAAAACTTCGGATGTTGGAGTCATCGCTGCCAACATGGAAAATCAACTGTAGCCGGAAGGAATTTCGTTTCATTTTAACACAATTTGGCCATGACCACATCCAGCTTCTGAAATTTACCTGTGCAGATCAGCTATTTTGGATTTTATTAATAATGCCTCTATCTTAGGTATAAGAGAGGGACGTTTTCTTGGACAGAAATTCAATCCCAACTTTCGATCAACCTTGATGACCTGTTGGCATCCATCAGCTTTTCCTATTTTCCCTCTCTTGAGTTCAATTCCTAAAGTGACTACAAAACTAAATCGATACAATCATGGAGCAACAATAATGAGGATCTACCTCTGATACCAATCGGATGGTTTTTTTTTGTAAAATCGTTAAAAGCAGCTAAATTCTATATGAAAGATGAATCCTAACTGATAGTGAACATTTAAATGATGTATGGAGGAGTCCAATTTTTCAAGTCCATTTGTGAACACATGCTTCTGTTTGCATAGCATCCATGGTTTAAGGTTGTACAAAGATTAAGTTGATTGTATAAAGTGTAAGAAAACTTTAGCACTTCAGATTCAATTTATTAAATGGTAACATTTCAAAAATGTCTACTTGCTTTCTCTTTTTCTTACCATACCCTAAATTAGGTTTAAAATCGTAGCTACCGCCACGATTAAGTTTTATTCTGGCTGTTACAATTGTGAACATTGTGCAGAATACACAAAGATCATAGACCTACAAGAGCTTGAAAATCAAAATGGAATGGCTGCTCTTAAACTTGTGGTTTATAGTGTTTTTTTTTTTTTTTTTTTTTTTTTTTTTTTTTTTTTTTTTACAAGATTTAATTTGGTGTTTATCCATTGATTTCCATCATTAAAAGGCTGTCCCAAAAAAACTGAGATCCAACCAGTATTGAGGAAATATCTGTGACAGGTTTCAAAATGCAGTTTTGCTGTTGCAGAAGCCTGTCTCATTAGCTTTCAAGAAGCCTTGATTGGGCATTTGTGTCAAAAAATGTGCTTTTCAATGGCAGTTTTCTAATAATGTGTAAAAACCCCTGTGAGTCAATCCAAACAAACCTGTAGTTCAAGTTCAGTGTTTTTTGTATAAACAAGCAGACTCTCATTTTCATGAGATAGTGAGGGACAACCTCCGAAATAACTTAACTTTAATCAACCAGAGATTTTAGTTCAACCATGATTATAAAGAATCTGCAAGGCTCTATTTAAGATCTCACATTCAATACCAACTTGTAGATACAGCAGAAAAATACGGTACCCTGATCCTAATTGCTTAAAGCTCAAATTCATCTATGACTCCGACTTCGAAATGGGGGACTCCGTTTTGAGATAAAAACATTAAAATCACTGAAAATAACCGATAATAATTTTAGTTTATTTGTCTCTAAAAAGATACAAACTCAACTTGAACTTCTTTTCATTTAACCTTCTGAAATGCTTCAAGGTACAGGGTGGAGAACAATCATTTCTTTTGAAAGGAAATTATTGGCAAATATTAGTTAAGACGAATCTGTTGTCAACATTCAATATAAAAAGTAAACAACAACAAATTCCGACAAATCTTCCTAAATTCTTGATTTCATTGGGATACCTTCCTCATTGGGATTTCAAAGCAAGGAAAAATGGGGAGAGAGGGAGTTACCACCATTCATCTTTTCATTATAATACACTCCTTTCTTTCGACTTGCCTCTTTTTTCATGATTAGCTGAAAGAACTTACGTCAAAAAGTAAATGCTAGAACTTTTTAGAAACAATAGGATAGTCAGTTTAACAGGAGGATAACATAAAGATACCAAGTTTGAGAGGAACGCACCTAGTCTTATCAAGTATCAATCGAGAGAGAAATGTTTTAAGTTTAATTCCTCCAAAGACAAAGTTTAACAACTGTTTATAAGTTCAAAGAGGCTTTTTTTCCTTCTACTTTGGTTTTTTGATAGGAGTAAATGCACGACTTGCTGAATTCAAAATTATTCAAAATGTATTTTCATTCCCAAAATACGACTTGGTGCGTTTCTAATAAACTCAGATCAAATTTTCTATCACGCCAAGATTAATGGATCTAGTTTAGCTCATCAACGAAGTTATCTTGAGAATCTTCCCATCTACTTAGTTCTAAACAGAAAGTTTTTAATAGGGTGTCCCAAAAATACTGCACACATTCCGTTTTTGAGCGAACAGGGGAAGTTGTTGGCATGCAGTTTGCACAAGGCTAGACTCTCCAGCTTTAAAAGAGGACCTTGAGCAGATCTCTAACTTAAAGCTTGCCAACTTTAAAGTTTAAACATGACGTGTAAGATGGGACCCTGCCTTTTTTTTTTTGGCACTGCACTTTTTTTAATAAGACAAATCAAAGCAGGGAACAAAACAATTAAACATTTTATGGAAAACAGATTGCAATGGAATGAAGCTGACAGGAGAGAGAGTACAAGTGACAGCAGCCCAAGTAGCATGGGTTGTGTGCACAAGTTCACAGAGTATTATACTTAAGTAAGTAGCCGGGGAGGGGGGCTCTTAATTCATCAGTAAGGGGTCCTTCACATATTAAGAAAACCATTTTGGCCGAACCTCCTCCCCTTGTGAGGCATCAGTAAAACAACCTTTCACCCTCCTTTTTGAGGGATATAAGACTGGTCAGACCACCCCCCCCCCAAATTTTTCAAAGAATATCGGAGAAAGCCTAAAGATAGCTAAAAAAGTTATATTTATTGGTTAACATTGTGTTAACAATGGAGGGCTTACATGAGACTGGGCTGGACCCCCCTCTCTCTATCGTAGAACCCTGTGAGACAAGCTGAGACCCCCTCTCCTCCTAAAGTAGTAATGTTCGAACAGTCCCTAATGGTAGGAAATTAGAATTTATTATAATTTCTATTAAAAGATTCTATTCTCTTCTATTAATAAAATCAAGAGTCTTTCGGCTAACTGTTGAAACTTCCTTCTTGGAATGGATGGCTGAGCTTTTTTCTGCTTTTCAAACTGACTTTAGAAATTAAATAAACAGTCCAGGTAAGCATATCAATTGTATTAGAACCATCTTGAAAGCAAATCATCTTCTCACAACCTCTGTAATAAGAAGTAGTAGAGGCATGTTTCTCATTTTCAAATTGCTCCTTTCGGCGTAGTATTTGAATATTTCATAAATTTTTTCTCTTTTCCCGAGCTGAAAAGCTCTGATAAAAACTTGACACAAGAAGCATGTCATTTAGGGATGAAACTATTCATCTAAAAAGTGATACAATTTTTCGAAAAGTGAGACATTCTCTAGCAGAGGGTGCGGTCTAGACGCCCTTGCAGTTGATGATTTTGAAAAATCAACGAAATTTTTCTGGACAAAAACTTGATCTCCTTTTCTCCTTCACTGGTCCATTTAGAATCAGTTTTAATTAGAGAGATAAGATATGGCCGCTGGAAAATTTGGATGGCAAAAATATAAAAAACTTTCCTTCAAAAGGGAAAAAGGATAATTTTACACTCAAATGTAGCAGCTCTTATTTAGAAAACTGTTTGAAGTTGAAGAATCATACGATATCGATGAATTCACTGTTTTCAGACTTAGCAAGTTCATCTTCTAACTCTGACAGTTGCTGTAGCGCCATGGTTTTTGCAAGAGAGACCAATGATGCTTTAAAAGCAGCTGGAAGAAAAAAGAAGAACTATAGTTATCACTCCGCTAGATAGATAGATTTGTAAAACTGGTATAACTACAAATTGAAATGCATGTATGTTGCAAGTAAACCTCTTATCTACTTTCTTCATATTGAAGGTGCTGCTTCATTCAACTATCGAAGCGTCTATTCCATTTTTTGATCTCTATTTTACACTTCATCTTCTTCGTTGGCAACGACCTGCGCAGGTCACCTTACTTCCATGATAAAAACTTTAGAGCAGAAGACATTTTGCCACCCAAGATTGAAATCTTGATAGAATCCACCTTAAGCCCTTTTGTTAAGGTATGTTTGCACTTGGACAAAGAAACAAAACCTTTATACTTACCCAAAGAGAAGGGTGATCTAAAATTACGATTTGCAAGAAACATGCAGAGATAAAAGGATAAAGTAATATGGAGTTTTTTCTCTAAATGATCTCTGATTTGAATGGACACACCTGACTTAACTACAAAACTGGAAAAGAAAAGAGCATAAGTCAACTTACGATCATTTTGAAAATGAGTCTCTTTATTCCTTGCAAATAAAACTACTTCATTTGTGGACCAATCGTCAGCAGGATTTAGAGCAGCTAGTGATTTAATCATTCTTGCTCGACTAAACTGAAAATCATAGGAGAGAAATACGAGATGCATGAAAAAAAATCATCACTTAGCAACTGATAAGGACCACTGAAAAATGATTTCAATTATGACTATTTTATATTGTAGTAGGTTAGTTACATTTGACACAGAGCGAACCATTAGGTATTGTTTTTAGCTTCAGAGGCAGGGGTGAAATGCACTGATGGCAATCACAACTACTACCGTCCCCATTCTGCGAGCAGTCTATAAAGGTGTGGAAACCAGGCATGCTTGATGTTAAGCAGAACAATGTCATATCAGATCTTCTACTATACTAACTGTTGATCAAAATCAATAGATGAAAAATCAAGGCTGAAAGTATGAGAAAAAAACATTCCCGAAAACGTCATTCTTGGGATTTTGCCGCCTTCAGGAAAAAAAATCAGAATTTAAGTAAATTCATTGTATTGTATTTTTAAGTAAGAATAAAAGATATTTATGAAAATGTCATCAGTGCATTATCATAATTCTCGGTAGAGAAATTTTGAATGCAATTTTCTTTGCACATTACAACTTGAGATACTGTTTGAGTAACTTCTGCAAGTCGATAGGTAAAAAAAATACAAATTTTACTAACCTCCGATGCTCGCTGTTTCCCAGACGGCCAACTATCGAAAATTTCTCTACTGGGACAAGAATATGGATGAACTCTTTTGTACCATTTCAGGAGAGCATGTGGGGTTATGATCGGTAATATATCTAACAAAAATACAATCCTCTCGCAGTAATTGTTAATTGAGCTTATTCGGACCCTGATTTGACTGGAAAATGAAAAATTACGAGTTATACAGGCATAATCAGTAAAAACAGCATACTATCATCTGCTATTTCAGCGGGGATAGATTGACAGATTACTAAAAAAAAATGCCTACCTGATACATTCTGGAAAAACTGTTCTCAGATTTACATGGGCTGATATTTTGAATTGTGGTTACTCTAGAACATGGAGTTCTTTGCCACCAAGGATGCCAAAAAAGAACTGGTTAAAAATTTGACAGCACAGAAAAAATTCAGACCCCAAATATAAAAAAGACATTCTAAGATGAGCAGATTTAACATTTTGTAAGAAAATGTGTTTGCTTGCTACCATCGTTTAATGTTAAGGGATTTTTTTCTTTCCCTGATTTGATAATCAAATTTTTAACTATTACCTTACATGCCTGTTTTTAGACACAAATTAGGACGCATCCAGCCTCAAAAACTTAAGATCGATGCTTTTCACTCTCACAATCTTTTTTAGGCTCTCTTAAATACTTTCCTCTTAAAAATACTTTATTTTTCTTTAGAAAACTAGTCGACATGATTTCTTGAAAACTGCAGTGATTTTTATCCTGTTGGAGGAATTTTCTGGTTAAATTTCAAGCTCTTCAGTTGGCTTGTTCGCCTTTGAAAAAATAACATAGTAGCGGAAATTTTGTAACCCTGCGATGGAGATACATGGTTTCGCACTTTCACTATAGATATTAATCCTCTGAGTTCATCTCTGATTTTTTATTTCATGTGATGTTTCACACATAAATTCTAGATTGGAAATGGAAACTGGACGATTTCAACTTACGATCAACATGGAGAGTGGAGGTAGAAAAATAGGCAAGGATGTGTAAATGAGTTTTTCCAGCCTGACTTTTTAGATTCATCGATTTTGAATTCAACTTAAAATATCCTTCAGGCTTATTAGTTTTCGATAGGGAATAATCTAGATTTTTTCATCAAATCCACAGAAACTTCAAATTTAAAAAAGTTTGAATTGAAGAAGTTAAACAAAGCATCTGAGAATTCTTCTTTTGAACTGCACATTTAACCACACACATTTTGGAACATTCTTTATACCTCCTGTTAATAAAGCAGGGGCACAATGATTGAAAAACTAATGATTGAAGTGAACATCAGATCAAGCACTGAAGAAATTCAAAGGTTAATGACTTACTTCAAATCAGAGAAATTGGCATAAAAATCGTCCTCTGCAAAAAGTTGAGACTTTAATTCTTTAAAAGGAACCGTTGACCATGAGCTAATATTAACTAGTGTTTGGCTACTATTAACGTGAGGAACCGCATCTTGGCTTATCAGTTCATTTATTTTAGCCACAGTATTAATTTCTTTAATTTTGAAATCAAATAGATCTTTGACAACTGAGCTACTCATAGAACTCCTCCACAGACCATCATTCAACACACCACTATGATATGTTGAATCCACTTTTTTTGAAAGAGGGGCACTAGTGACCAAATTTGGAATCACTATTTCATAGTTTTTTTGTATTCCTGGAACAAAAAGAAATACAAATTTTCAAAAGTGTGAATTATTAGGGCCTTCCAAAAATACAAGAGCAGGAAATTTTACACCAAGATAATGATTACTTCAGTTGCTTTGATCAGCCTGTTTGTGACTCAATTTATTGAGTTGGACTTCCACCCCACCTTTCTCAAATCCTACGAATCTGGGTGAAGAAGACAACAGGAACTACACACCTCTTTGATTCTCTTTTATGATCCTAGGCACATGAAAAAAATCCCTTTGACCTGTTTGTTCATCTTTCGGGATGAAAATATAAATTAACTCAAGTTTTTTAATGAACATTTCTCATCAGACTCTCAAATGAATAGTATGAACGAAAATAATTTGGAAACCTAGTAAAATTATAATTAGTCACAAATAAAGGAAATTTCTTTGACTGCACAGTTTTAAAATGTAGCTTGAAACTTACCAAGAGTGAGAATGTTGATCACATTTCGAACTAGCGATAGCTGATGAACTAAACAAATTGGTTTCTTGTTAAAACGGAAGAAAATTTGCACCCGGATTGGAAATTCACCCCATCCTCGACGGGTTATTTCATACGGAGGCTCCCTGATAAAAAGAAATATAGAATATTTGCGAATCACAAGGCATGGAGGGAAATAGAAATAAAAAAAGGAAAAAAATCACTATGAAAACAGAGAAAAAGTAAAAATAACAGCAGTGATTACTTTTAAAGACTAAATCACTTATGTTATAATGTAACTGGTGGGAGACTTGCCTACCCCAAATTGTGGCTGAGCGTTTGAATGGTAATGTTTTAATTTATTACTTTTGAACTAATGTAGAAAACCAATTATGGGAAAGGCGACTTCGCAGTCTGTTATGACTACTGTCTCAATTTGCCATTTTTGCTGTAGAGAAAGTGATGATTCCTAATTTTTTTCCCCATTGATGCAAATTCACAGATTATTGTGCACTTTTGCTAAAAATCGTAGGTTTGGATTTACAGATTCTATGATCTAGCAAATTTGTTTGTCGGCCCCTGAATATTTGATAAATTGAGGTTCCGTATAAGTGCTGGTTATTATTTTCACTTTTGACACTTTAAGTAAGGGCAAGCAAGGAGTAAAAAAATTATCTTTACTCAAAAATGTTACCGAATTCTCAAGTCAAAGTAAATATGTGTATGGACCTCAAAAGTAAGAGCTCTGGCTAATTTCTTTCTTCCTTGAAATGCACAGTTAGGTTGGTGAAAATCCCGATCATATTCCAAACTAATGTAAAAAATCCTCAGGCCTAACCTGCATGGCTTTCAAATCATTAAATTCTCATTCCCATGCCCAAATGTCTGAAAGAAGGGCCTTTATCATACTTAAAGAGTAATCTAAAAAAAAAAAAAAAAAATTGATTCTTTTTCCTCATTTGATGGATAGGATGTTATAGGCTACGTTGGTTTTAAGTAGAAAATGCGATTATTGAAGAAGGGGCATATCTTGCAATGTGCATTTTTTTCAGAAGAACCTTTAATGTACAGAAAAAAGTAACACAAAATAGCAGGACTTGAGCTAAGAACTTACTTTCTTTCAATTAAATTATTTGGAGCATAGCTATCATGGATTAAGAATCGAATTTTGGTAATGTAATTGTCTAATGGTGCATCCTGTGCAAAAGTGTTTCTGACGTAGATCTTCCAAATATGAGTTTCATGACAACTCTTTTCAGACGGAAGAAGCTGCTTTGAAACAGTTCCGATGGTGAACCTGAAAAGAATAAAAAGAAAGAAGCAGATGAAACTCTGGGAAGGTTGCGGCAAATACTTTAGATTTCTGATGAAATTGGTAATCAAATGAGATGAAGTAAATAGCTTCTCAGCTAATTCCTAGACATACTTTACAGGTGATTATCAATAATAAATTATTGAAAATAAAAAATTAGGTCTCATTCTTTGATGCTGAACAGTCTGAGAGGAAAAGGAGAATGAATTAGCTATCCCCTCATTTCACTGCAGAATGGAGTAAAAATTGATTTTCCAGATACTTTGACACCAAAGACACTAATTGCAGGAGAGCACAAGGCCAGAAAACAATAAGGAGTCTTAAGCGCAGAAATTACTTGGCATTTGCTGATATCGAACATTACATTATTACCAAAATTTTCGATCAGGGACAATTAATAAAAGAACGCCTTGGAAGAAAATCAAACTTGTGATGGTAGACACTGTGAAGAAATCATGTTCATAAGCATTTAGATGAATTTTAGATGATCTTTTTAGATTGAAATTTTAAATCTTGAAGAAAATAAAAAAATTCATACCTTAACTTCACAGGAGAATGACTAACCAAAGCTTTATTTGTAAAGCTGTCTCCTAAATTCTTAAGAAGATCACGAGGCAGGTTCTGACTGTCCTTTGACGACTCTGATGAAGTAAAAAGGTATCCTTCACTGCATTCATCATCAATATTTACAGGAATATCACAGACACTAGAGAGATCAAGGTTATTGTGGCTGAACAGACTTTGATTGCAGGTCATCATATCTTGGTCAAAATAAGTGCTTGAATTCCAAAAGTCATCAAACTTGATATCTTCAATATTTTCACCATTTACAGTTGAGGTAGGTAGGGCAGAGTTATAAAAACTATTCTTGAGATCACCTTCAAAGCCTCTTAAGAGATCTATTTTCATCCTTTTGCTGGGAGGAGAACTTGTTTCTTTGGAAATTGTGTTAGCATCGGTGGAAATCAATTTGCTGGAACTTAGCGTAAGCAAAGAGTGTTTCCGATGCTTTGTTTGTTCTGCCCAGATATTTTCCTTCAGATAATCATGGTCTATACTAATTTGCCACACTTGATCTGCAACTTTCAAATACTTATCATATAAAACTATGCTTGACTGCGAATCTGATACATTTGGATGACTTTTGTCTTCACTGATATTCAGATCAATTGAAGTCCGATTATCAGGACCAATGGAGCCGTTTTCGTTGCCAGATGGGTAAAACCTTGTACAAGGTAAAACGGGAGAATTTTGTTTTACACTTGGTTTTAGGCTGCTACCACCGTTCCCAACACAGGTGCTTGAAGCAGAGCTACACGCTGGACTTGATGCAGACGATGTTGGAAAAAGAATCTGAGTTCCGCTGGAACTAGGTTCATCGAGTGATGTTACTTTATTGGCTGATGAAATGCCCTGAAGTCTACTAGCTCCACAAGTTCCCAGTTTTTCTTTGAGTCCTCCATTGTTCAAACATATTTCTCTCCGCCATTCACTCTGAAAGAGGAGTAAATAGATTAAAAGTTAGGAATGCTCAAATGAATTCTTGTGTTAATAAGTCATGGGTAACCTTCCATTCGAATGATACATTTCAGCGTTTTGACTGCTGTTAGGGTTGCCTGCTAAAAGGCACTGGATCAGTGGCTCAATTTCATCAAGTGCCATGTGTAAAATGTGCCCAAAAATATGGGACATTGGCCAAACTTACATTAAAAAAAAATTGATAATCCTGTCAAAATATCATGCTCTGTGATCTCTACGTTCCATTAAGATTTTTCTACTTCCTGAAAAATTGTACATGGCATATATATATATATATATATATATATATATATATATATATTAGACAAGACACTACGATCTAGGCCCAGGGAAAGGTTAAGAAACCTAGCTCCAAAATTTCAAAGTCTAGAAAAAACCTACAAAAGAAAAACGGATAAAATCGTAACATTGGGTCTGTTACCATAATAAATTTATACTCCAAACATTATAGAATCTAGTATGGTGCACAAAAACTATCATGTTTATAGTCTCATTGTTTAAGCTGTTGGAGTCAGTGACCAGCTTAGAATGCTATTTCAGATTTAAATCTCAGGTACATTGTGCTCATTCTTACGACTCAGGGTCACTTAAGCCTCTTAATCCTTAAACAGTAGAACAGGCTGCTTACCTATGCCCCTTAACTGCAACTTTTTGTGGTGCAGACTTTGATCATTTAACCTGTTTGTAGTCTTTTCAAAAGGGAGCATTTGGACATATTTGAATCAAAAGAAACTATCTTTATTGTGACGTGGACCCTGTCATGCATGTATTCTTATGGATCTCAGGGCCTATATCACAATTTACATAATTCCTTCTGATTTAAATGCAGCAGTGAGTTGCCATTGCCTTTTTTTCTTCAGTTAAATTTTTAGCAGAGCTCATAAAACTCCTTGGAGATTTGTATCTTCAGTTTTTCAAGAATAACGATACCCAGTTTAAAAACATTAAACATGTGCTTCTATGACAAGAGGAGTCCTTTTGAGTTACAATTCCAGTCCATTCTTCGTAATTAGAAGTGTAATTGTGCGGCCATGCAAAAATGCATCTTGAAATAGTACTGTCTATGTATCTTCATTACATTTGAAAGTGGTAACCTCTGGAGGTTAATTTAAAAAAAAAATAGTTAGACTTTATTTGGCTTCGCCATTTTGCGCAGTGCTTTTTTTATCAATGATTTTTACTTACCTCAGGAAATATTATTTTTCGAGAGGGATTGAGTTTCTGGTAAACTAAAATATTACGATGAACTTGATAGATTCTGTTATTGATTTCTTTGGCAATTTTGATTGCCTCTTCTAATTCTTTGCTCACATCCTGATGCAGTATTTTCTTAATTTCTGAAAATAAAAAGGCGAGACATAGGTTATGGGCATTTAATATTTTGGGAGGGAGAATTTACTGGTAAAAACTACTGAGATTTGAAGACCTGCAGAAGAGCAATTGAAAGTATCCATGCAAAGAAAGTCTATCTATGCTGAGAGTTTTGATCAAATTTTGACTGAAATAGGTCGTCCGTGATGTTCGAAACACTGCGGGCCATTTAGATAAATCAAGGATTCCTATCAAGGGCCCCATGAGTAGTTTATTAAAACCAAGATCATCTTATTTGAGCAAAAGTTAGCCGAGTTATGGCAGTTCGAACATGAGGTTAATGGAAATTTCCTGAGGTTTTTTGCAGTCTCCTTTCGTTATATAGCATTTGAGAGCTATCATGACGATCAATTTGTGAAATATGAGAGATGCTTCTACAGTGTGATAAAACAAAGAATATTTTTGAGTACATTGTGTGATGGTTCTTCAACCGAAAATCAGATGCTCCGAAAAATAAGAGACACAGACTTGTACATGGGTACAAATAATTTTGGTCAAAATAAAAAAAGGAGAGTCTGGAAAATTAAAGCACCTTCTTTGTTTAAACCACTTGGAATAGTCATAATATGCCATTATTTCTTGATATATTCTAAGTAGTATATAACAATTATGCTTGGCCAAAGAAAATTAAGACCACTATGGTCCATTTCACGAAACCTGAGACTTTTTATTTGGCATTAAAATCCGTAAATGGCGATGCGTTAGTCTCAGACACAATAACCAGACCGCTCGCTGGACACGCCCTATTGAGCAACGAAGAGAGGCCCGCAACCCGTTCATTGTCAGGATAGAAACAATGGGCACCCTTCATCCCTCCTTAATGAGCTCTAGTACCCGGACCAACATTTTTTTGCTGTTAAAAAAATCATCTTTAAATGCTAAAATTTAGTTTGAGCGCAAAATTATGATTGAAATGTACTAAAACTCCGTCCAATTATCTTAATTTTAAGCTGACAAAGGCATTTGCGTATGACTGCAATTCGCCACAAAATTACGTACATCGGCTCAAAATTAAGATAATTGGACGGAATTTTAATGCGTTTCAATCATAGTTTTGCACTCAAACTGAATTTACACACTAAAAGATGATATTTTTAACAGCAAAAATATGTCGGTCCAGGTACTAGAGCTCATTAAGGAGGGATGAAGGGTGCCCATTGTTTTTACCCTGACAATGAACGGGTTGCGGGCCTTTCTTCGCTGCTCGATAGGGCAAGTCCAGCGAGCAGTCCGGTTATTGTGTCTGAGATTAACGCATTGCCATTTACGGATTTTAATGCCAAATAAAAAGTCTTAGGTTTCGTGAAATGGATTGTAAATATGTAATTTGATACCTCAAGTTTACATGAGGTCTTCTCAGAATTACTAAGAGGCTGAAGAGTGGATTTAACACCATCGAAAGAAACAGCAGAACCTCGTCTTGTATTTAATACTTACGGTCAAGTTTTTGGTTGTTGAATGGTGATATATTATCTCCATCCATATTAGATCTGTTCATCTGTAATGAGCCCATTGATTCACTAGAAAAGAGAGAAGATATTTAGATGGATAGGTAGATTGAACTTTTTCTTTATAAGAAAACTCATGATCACTAAATTTTTCTGGCCTTTATGAGTTGAAATGCAGCAACTGCAGCAAAGAGTATTTAGACCAGTCTCGTTGGAGTCAGGGCTATGAAACATCAAAGGGATGTAAGGAAACAGGAAGAGACAAAATCAACGGTTGCCAAACACTTAGAGCAAGTGAGACTTTTTTTTTTTGATTTTTGTTGCCGAGGCCTGACTCCGAAGGATTAAGGACTTTTAAAGTAATAAGGGGTGATGCCCCGAAAAAAACTCATAGAGTAATTTAGCAGTGCAGCGTGGATGAACACACCGCGAGAGGTGGGGCAGGGGAGGACGACGAGTCAGGGCCGCCCAGAGCAGCTTTCCCCAGTCGGGAGCTCGACATGGTTAAAACCTCGTCATACTTTTTTGTGATTCGGAAACCCTTGTGTCTACCACTCTGGGTGCCCCCAAGTCAGATTATCCCCCACCTCTGAGCAAAAACTCGCCCTCGGGGACCGAGGAGAAGTTGTTATTTTAACTTCCCTAGGGAAAGGTTTAATTACTTTAGTTGTCCTGAAGGGACGGAAATTTAGAGACCCAAGGGTCTACCCATACTACCACCAGTGCACGTGACGAAATGAGGGGTAGTGAGACATGACACAAAACCATTATATATAAATCATGTTTGATTAGATTAATGAGAGAGGTTCGTGAAATGCATATCTGAGAGAGCATTAACATCATAAAAAAAGGCCATGTTAATCAAAGAAAAATCCGATGAAATGAACTACGCACTCTTCAAATATCTGCGAATTCGCCACGCAGGGAAGAATAATTTAAGAAGACTACTGGGGCAAAGACCAGATTTCAGTCGTCTACGTTGCACTGAGGAGCGAGGGGACCCTCAAAACAATTGTATAAGTGATAGTGAGTTTTTAATGATAACTGGAAAAATTCAGGAGGAAGCTGAAACATCACAGGTTTTTAAGACTAGCTTATTATAAAAGACAGGAGGATATCAGGATGATTAGTTTAAGAGGGTGCATTCAGAGAATTACTGGTATCCATCAAGTCTGGCATTAGTTAAGTGACCTGTCGGATCACTCTAAACACTGTATGAAGTGGGCTTGGATTTGCATCACCTACATTCAAAATTAAGATGAAATTCAAAGTTGCATCCTCGAACCATCACTCTCGACCTCACTTCTTTCATGTTGCGATTGAACTTGAATGTAGGAAGAAAAAGCACTGACGCTGAATACTTACCTGATTCTGTCTTTCCAGCGAATTTATGTAAATCGCATGAATGGCAAGCATGATTTGGATATTTAGGAAAATGTTACTACTTATCATTGAACTGACAATATATTCATTCATTCATAGAAGGTTGAAAAGCTTGATAAACCTTTATGTTTACAGAGCAAGTAGCAGCTAAAGTTAATTGAAGTACACATTACCGTAGGATCAGTCACAGTCTCTGCAACTCTGTGAAATCACCATAAATTCCTGCTTATCTTTGCATTAAACTTAGCTTCTGTTGAGTAAACAGAAATTTTGAATTTTTTGACTTGAGGAGTTGCGGGAGAATGAACGGTGTGAAATGCATTGTGTAAATCATGCAGTAGGTACGTTCATAAGAGAACTTAGCTTCAAGAGTAGATGCGTATTCGATCAAAAATTTAACATTGGTTCAATGCCTTTTCACTCTTGAAGTGACCACCCTATTACTCTAAGTGCTCATCAATTATGACAAAGCAAGATACAAAAAGGAAACATTGAACTGTAATTTCATACCCAACTTCAGGAGGAGATCTTTCTGCACCAGAGATGGGAGTTAATGTCTTGTCACGGAGGCATGATCCACAATATTAGAGATAGCTAATAAAGGCAATGCAGAATGTAAGACTTCAACAGTATACCTCGGTCGTTGGAGAACTAAAAATCACCCAAATATCTGAAAATCAACAAAGATGTTCACATTATCATTAAGTCTTGATATTGCTATTACACAGAAAGTAGAAAGCGATAAGTATAGTTATGATGGTATTTAAAGATTTTTCGCTCTTACCTACATTCTAAAATTAGCAAAGAACCATGAAGTGAAACTCGAAAAATTCAAGGGAATATTAAGGGAATTTGTAATACTTAAATAAAATTTTCCACTTCCAATGAATGTTTATTGTAAACATAACTAAAGTTTTCAGAGTCACCGGTTCTTGACCAATCAGAGCATCCCTTACGTCACTTACTCACACTACCCTGCACGTGTGTCTGAGGGCGCATGTGTTGTAGTGTGTGTGAAAGTTGCTGATAAACAAAAACACTGTACTATGTAAACACGTGGTTATGTGCTGCTTCTGATTTTCTTCAAACTTTTCAATTTCACAGCTCACGGGAAGGGTAGTGGTTACAACAATGACTTCTAAAGATTTTAAAGGTATGAAAACTGAGTATTAGATATTCATCCAACGGTCACTCAGTGTCATTGCTTTAAATAATAGCTGCCCGTTTTTAATTCATTTAGATAACCTAAAAATTTTGAATCACTTCATCACTTGAATCTTAAATCCATCTAAATAAAGGACCCTGCGCACTCCTTATGGAAATGTGCGGCCTGTTCGATTTTCAATTCTTTTATCGCATCAAACTCATTTGCTGATCAAACTTCATCATCGTGCCAACTCTCTATGAGCCACTGTTCTCGTATAATCTACGATTGAAGTTTCAATGTATTCCAGGGAGAGCCAGCTGTAATCAAGGGAAACGCAGTGCGTGTCTGCCTGGTAAAGATGAGAGAAATGCACTGTGACACTTAATCAACGCACAACCTCATTTTACCAAATAAATCATTGAAACTGAGGCCGCGGATTTTGCGAAAACGGTGGCTCGTAGAAAGTTGGCGCAAAAAATAAGTTTGATCAGCGTCCAAGGACGACTTTAACGCAGTAATTAAATTGGAAATCAAACAGGGCACACATTCCCACAAGGAGCGTGCAAGGTCCTTCTGATGTGAGTAGTAAGTCTCATATTTTTTCTCTACTGAATTCAAAAAAGAGCACCCTTCATAGTAAGGCCAGGAGTTGACTTCTTTGTCCCTGCAGCCATTTGTCCTTTGAGTAACTCATTGATTGTTTTCATCAACACAGCTAAATTAATCAGCTAATTAGTTAGCCCACTCAGAAAAAGCGTTCCTCAAATGCATTAAGTAAAGATCATAATCATCTCATAATTTAGTTTTCATTTTAAGCTAAATCCATTTTGCTTTTTTTTCATCTAGCAATTCGCTTACGCCTATCTGAAAATAGTGGTGTTTACCACTACTTGTACATCAAGCAGAATGTGGTTAGAGAAGTTTGCAAAGAAAAACCATCCGACAAAACTTTATTTGTCATGGGGATCCCGCCTTATTTTACTGAGGTTAGTACTGACATAAAAACATTCTCTTTTGGTCACTGAAGTCACTGTCAAGCTCTAACAAACCTGTAACAGCTCTCATAAGCTGAATGAAGAGTAACAGAAGGTTTATAAATGTTCAAAATAGATGGCATATGGTCAACTTTACAATGCCTTCACTCCAAAATGTATCAGGTTCAAAAATATTTTGTGGTATACTTAACCCATGCTTATCTGCAAGCGCACTGAATGTTGAGTGAATTGTACCTAAGTAAAATAGACCTAGAATCAAAACAATGCACTTAAAGGGCAATTACAGTACACTTGTTTGAAGTTCTCCAGAGTATCGCTGTAATCACACAGTTACTTACGAGCATTCTGGCTTTCTTTGTTATTGAAATTCATGGCATACCCTGTATCACTGTAATCTGCACTACGGTGATTGCTTTGGTTAGATAGGATGCTAAGCCAATAATTCCCCAACTCAAATCATTCTTTTTTTTATTTAATATTGTTTCTATTAGCTTACAGAAATATAACTGGTTTTTTCCTTAAAATACACATTCATGAAGTCAACAAACCGAAGAATATCAGAACTACCTCACACCAAGATTACCAGTCATTAATTGTAATCTTATTGTCTAGTTATCAATGTTGTTGTCTATTATTGATCTTAATTTGAGACACTTTTGTTCCAGAATTGTATTAGCCATTTATTCCAGCAATGTGGAGCCATCTCAAATGTGTATATTCATGACAAACCCTCCTTTGAACTACCGAAAGTGTCAGTATCTAAATTCTTTGAAAGAAAGCGTTTGTTGGTAAGTGTGTCTTATAGCCACAACCACTACTAACATTAGTACTTGGACCAGTGAAGAATACTTCATGCTCTTTAAATTAATTCCTCAAAACCTAAAATGTCTCTTTTTTTATCATGAAAATCTTTGATTCAGAAACATGCAGAATCTTTACAAAGGAATTTAAAATAACTCCAGAAAGATCGTAATGATGAGTTAGTGTGTTTTCCGAGAGAAATTTTTTTTTTTCTGAAAGTTTTTTCTAGATATTCCTTTAGAGGCAAGGAAGAAATCTGTACAGATATTTTCAGCAATACTTCTATAGACCATTGAAGTAAAAGAATGAAGCATCACTGTCAAAGTGTTTGTGTCGTGTCACTTTCGATATAAACAATTTTTCCAGGATTTCTGTTTAGAAAACAAGATCCTTTTTATGCTTAACAAAGAAGGACCTGATTATGGAACAAATTAATTGTTCTCATTCTTTCTCTGGCACCCATGGTACAATCAAAATTTTCATTATTTTTGACTTCCAAATGATGACTAATTCAATTTTCTAAAAATATGCCGCTCATAGCACCCCTCTTGAACTCAAGTTCAAAAGAACTTCTTAAGTATAAAAAGCTTCTGACATAATGTTCAAACTCAAGCTTCATCTGCAGTGTGTGAAGAAGGCGTCTGAAAGCAACTACAATGGCAGAAAAATTACAAACTTTCGCACCCATTACCTTCTATGCTATGAAGGATCACAATTAAATGATTTCAGTATTTGGACTTTAAATGATCCTTCCTCAGCACTTCATCATTTTGGAAACAGGTTTTCAAAATCCTCATTTAAATCTTGCATGCAAAATGCACCATCAAACTTCTTTCTACTTTTTTATAAAGTCAAAATGTTTTTCTACCCATCTTTTTCCAATGGTATGTTGTCAACTTGAATTAAAATATTCTCAAGAATTAACCTCTTTTCACTAATCCGATTACAACTTTGCTCATGAGATCCTCATGATTTTCCAATCATATTTTTGTTTCTTGTTCTTTCAGGGATTCAAGGTTGCTTATGTTGTGTTTGAATCCACCGACTCTTTGAAAAAAGCTCTGAAGCTGAAGAAGCACTTGACCCTTCAAACTGAAGACTATAAGCCTCTAGTTGGTGTTCAAAGTGAGTTTTGTGAATCTTAGATTTTGACTGAACTCTTCTGGTTGATGGATTTCTAAAGATAGATTTTTTAAAGACAGGGTGGCTTGGACTTACCACACCAGGCTTTTCTCTTAATGGGCCTCTTGCAAATTTTTGCTACAGCAAAAATTAGAGTCGTTTCTATGAGTAAATGTCTCAAAAATCACGATGAGCACATAGGCAAAGTTTGAAACTCCTAATGTCACAATCTGCGTAAAAAATTTGTGTTGTTTTTAGCTTCCTGCTTCAAAAATGACACTACAGCACAGGTGAACATTTTGTCAGCGAGAGATTTGTAGGGTCAGTTGGGGTAATTCCGTCACGGGGTAATTCCGGATGTGCATCATGGAGGTCGTAAAATTGAGGTTAGGGAATTTTCGCGCTAGTATGTTGTTGCCAACGTTCAGTTGGTCACCCTGAGTGATTTGGTTCTCATTTCTTGTTTGTTTACGCGTGATAAGGAGATCGGTCGTAAAGGTGCGAAAAAAAAGCAAATCGCCAAACTCGGAACGTCTCTGCAAAGTGTTACAGGTAAGAGAAATTATCTTTATATTCCAACAACCATTATTTCTATAAGTTGTTCTGTTTATGAATAAACAATTTTGCCTGTTTTTCGAATGATCAATGAACCTCTGTCCAGATTGAGGTTAAACCGGAATTACCCCATCGGAAAAACACCGGTGGGGTAATTCCGTTTATTCAATTTTCCAATTTAAATTTGATAATTAATTTACTTTTTGATCTGTTTTAGCTTCTAGGCCTCTTTAGCTTGAAAAAGCTGAAGAGGCCAAAAGAAATAAGAAACCCAAGAAGAAAACTAAAACGGGATCTACCAAAGATAAAAATGAAACCAAAGAGGAGAACGGAGAAGAAGATGCAGATTTACCAGAAAATGCAGCAAAAAAGAAAAAGAAACCAACGAAGAATACTAAAAAGAGACCTGCCAAAGATAAAAATGAATCCGAAGAGGATGACGGGGAAGAAGATGCTGATTTACCAGAAAATTCTGATTTATCAGATGGTGAAAGCTTCAATGACAATGAGAAGGAAGATGACAACTTAGAATTGCTGTTGATGGAAAATTATGCTGATTCAGAATCTGGTTCAAAGGCGGAAATTGGGGACTTCATCCTGGTTCGTTTTAAGAAACAAGTCCAAAAAGAAACGTTTGTGTATTATGTTGGCCAAGTTTCTGAGAAACAAGATGATGATTTGAATGTATCTTTCTTACGGAAAAAGAAAAAATCTTTTGTATTCCCTCATGTTGAAGACATCAGTCTTATTCAAAAAATAGATGTTGAAAAATTCTTCCAAAACCTGTTATCCGTAGAGGCTACTACATTTTTAGCACTGAGTTCCCTATTGATATCATAATTATGTAGGTTATTAGAAATATTTTCTTTTCATTCTACATTTCATTTTTATTTCTTTTCTACTTTTCATTCACCATTACCTAAAGTTCCTAAGCCTAACTTTGTGCCTACCTGCCTCTTTCTCACAATCAGTCTGGGAGTTTAAGAGTTCAATTAATGAGTGCTATCAGGTGTTACCTAGATCCGCTTTATTTTTTGGCAATAGTGGTTCTATTTAGTTACCTAGTATTTTTAAAAGAACACTTGTTCCTACACTTAAAACTTTACGTTACGTACTATTTTTTAGATAAATTTTTTTGAAATAATAAACATTAATTTTCTTATTGTATTTTGTTTTAGCTACTTACCTACATCATCCCTTCCTCCTTAAAAATATATAAAGAGAAATATATGCACATATAAAACAAATAAAAAAAAAATTGTTTCTGAGTTTTCATGGTTTTTACTGAAAAAAATTAAGGACAAAGGCTTACCTACTGAGAAAGTCTCTTGACGAGATAAAAAGGGAAATGAAAGATCCTGTACCTGCCTTTTCTTTTTCAACAACTTTATTATTAAAGAAGGGCTTCTAATAAACAGAAATTGAAATTATAGAAAAAAAGTGAACTTTGTAATACATTAATGGAAAAAAACTGAATTTTATAAGCATCCGGAATTACCCCAAATTACGAGTTGGGGTAATTCCGGAAAGAGAGATTCAGCGCTAATACTTTGCAGTCTACTTAAAGAACATCCAATATGTATGTGTGCATAATTTCATTAAAGAGACATAGCCGTGGACTTAGATACGCCTCCGGAATTACCCCACCGTCGGTGGGGTAATTCCGTTTGCAACGGGGTAATTCCGGACGTTACAAAAAAATTCACCAAAAATTTTTGAAAAACTTTTTTTCGACAAATACTATATTAACTAGCTTTCAACAATATAAGGAGCTGGCAGATCCAAAAAAATGTTGAATTCATTCAGTTTAACTGGTCCAAACCAAGGGTCAAAGTAAAAATTAGGTTACAACCGTCAAAATCGTCCGGAATTACCCCAACTGACCCTAATAGTTCTCTTGCAGGGGTTTTACACAAACTGTTCCGAAAAAACCTGATAAATGACAAACTCTAAGCAATCTATTGAAGTTAGCGGGACATGTCGTGTAGGAAACTGTGGCTCATTTCACTAGCTTCCCAACATTGGTAATAAGTATCCGTATCACTGATCGATGATATGGACTGATTGCACGGTCTTGATTGACTAATGGACCACTAGACAAGGTACGAATTGCAGCATTCTGATACATGTTTCTTAACCAAAATTTCACGCAGAACACGATGCGCACAATGAAAATTACCGAAATCAACTCCTCCCAAAGACATTTAATGATTCTTGATGCGTGAATTCAAACCACCCGCTCATGAAAACTCAATGCTCTGCGTGATTCACAACGCGCGCTAAACGTTACCATGACATTATCTGCGATTTAAAAATCTGGCAACCTCAATCTTAACGCTTTGGCTCAGCTATAGCAAATTGCTTATAGTTTGAACAACACATGGTGGAAAATTAACATTGGTCGATTGAGAAGCTTGCTGAAGCCGTTGTAGTGCGCGATTTGACTCACGTAGAGCTTTGAGTTTCTTGTGAGCGGGCAGTTCAAATCCCTCGCAACCAATGTGAAAATAAAACGTTGATATCTTTGTTAGTAGTTATTTTCAGTAATTTTCGTTGTGTTAATCGTATTTTACGTGAAATTCTGGTTAAGAAACGTGTATCAGATTTCATAACTTCGTACCTTGTCTAGTGGTCCATCGTAAGGAAAGCAGCAAAAGCCCAGTCAGTTTGCTTTGGCTGTTTCGCTTCTAGTGAATTTTTCCCCTCTCAACTCACTTAAGTAAAACTTCTTCTTTGTTATATTTATTCATTATTATTGCCGAATAATGTGTCGTTATTTCTCTTTTCCCCCTCAGAATGGTGCCAAGAATATAATGACCGAATTCCCAACATTGTAGAATTGCAGTATGAGGTTGATGCATTTATAACTGATTTTGATGAAAAGTGTCGCGAAGAAAGACAAAGGCAAAAACAACTGATGGAAGCAGATGGTGAAGGTTGGGTCACTGTGACCCGGAAGTAAGTCCAGTTTTCATCCACAAAATTTTTTATTTTCCCTAAGCAGAAATGAAAGTTTCACAAAATTTCAAACCACCAATGAAACCCTACAGCTGTTATAGTTCCAAATTATTCATTGCTCGGAGACTCCCTCAAAAAGTTATCACCAAGCTCTTCAAAATTCCTTTCAAGACTTTTTGTCAGGAAATTAACAAATTCTGTTGCTCCTGTTGATATTTTGATTCTTTTGAGTCAGGCAGTGGAAAAACCTGTGAAATGTGTAATGAAATGTTGGGAGTTCACCAACCATTGCTGCCAAAGTTTTATTTTGTATCTTGGATCTTTTCACGGAGTTCTTGATGGACATCAACTGTAAAGACTGCCTAGCTACAGATATTCTTTGTGTTTTTTATTATTGGCTGTTAGCCAATCCATACTACTAGATTCCGAAAGGACAAGATATTGGAGACTGAAAATTACGTCCTGTCGTAAAATGCGCCATGTTGAAAAAATTTGTTGTGTCCGGTTACCTTAATCGGAATCTCATTTTGTCCAATGACAACCGTGATCTCTACCACAGTTTGCAAGACTGTCAGAATGTAATCGTGTGGTTTCATGAGATTCTTTGATCAAAAATTGTTCAAGATAAGGATTTTCTCACATTACATGCTATCATTTTTTCTTTATCCATTCAACGTCTCTGGAGAAACAGCTTTTAACTGATCAGCTTACTGTGCTACTACATTGTTCCTACAGTTACATTTCTGGGAAGTTGAGTGCGTTGAAGCGTTATATAAATGCTAGTTTGCAATTTTTCCAACAATGTTGCAGTTTCTATTGTAAAAGTATTGTTTTTTCAGAAACATTACCAGTCTGCTTTTCTCAAAGTTTTCCCATAATATCCTCAAGAGATATTTTGTTTCAATATCATCAAATAGTATTGCAGAAACTTTTCATCAATATCGTAACTGAAATATTGTTCCAACCCTCATTGCAGAGAAGATAACATTTTAATTGTTGGATGGTACGAACATGTCTTACCATGATTATTACATACAAATTAAATATGATTTTTTAAAGTCTTCCTCAGTTGGTGAGACTTAAAAGGATAACTATAACCTTGTGCAACATTGGAACCATTTGCTTTCCTGTCCACTCTCTAACTCAACTAATGTTTCATCTGCTCATCTTAAAATACAGCATACAGCACAGCAGATTAATTGCCAGTTTTTGATTTTTCAGAGGAAGGAATCCTGGCTTTGCCCGTAAGCAGACAGTCAAAGAAAAGATCCTTGAGAAACAGAAAAAGAAAAACAAGAAACTTCTGAACTTCTATGCTTTCGAAATCAAAGAATCGAAAATGAACCGTAAGTCAAAATCCCTTTTTTCAACCATAAGTTTTCTACAAGGAGTCGCAGGGGTGTGCAGTAGCTAATGTGAAGCTCCTAAGCAGTTATTTTCATGATTGTAAAAGATTTGTGGATAACAAAAGCAAAAAAGGTTCTAAAACCTGGGCCTCTCCTCAAGCAATAAGGGAGGTTAGGTTTGTCCTTTAATTACAAGGAGGCATACTTTTAGAAAGTGTTTGAATTCAAGGTGTTGAAAGTATAATTTTTACATTCTCCATTGATATAAAGTTGGTGGATTTGAATCTGATATTTAAAGCAGCTTTCAATATCTCAAGACTTGGCTCTGTAAGCTTCACTCCATTACATTGTCAGAGGTCCACTTGGCCCCTATTTATGTTCCAGCCTTTGCTTTCAGCACGCTATTTTGAAATGCTATGACTTGGCAAATTTTTGACTCAAATTCGATCCCACTGGATAGACAATGAAATGATCATTACACAAACCGTATCTCATCAAAGTTCTTGCCAAATAATTTTATGTACTTTTAAAGTGTGACAGAAGATTACGAGGGGGGACCCAAAAAAACCCGGAATTTCGCTGTAACTTGGCAACAATGGAAAATATTCGGGTTCCATCGCTAGGAGGTGTAACTAGGAGCTATGAAGAGTCACTAGGCCAAATTTCAACATCGTAGCACATTTCCTTTCCATTTTGGCGAGACTTGCCTTCAGGGGTGTTTGGCGACTTCGTAGTTTTTCAAGATGGGTCAATTTCAGTAACAACACTTAGAGCTCAAATTTTTCTCTCTTGCTCGATAAAAATACGGTTTTCTCTGTTAACCTTTTAAAGTGCTGCTTCTGAAGGACAAGTCTTATCAAAAAGTTCAGTGTAATTACGGTTTTTCAGTTTCAAAATGGTCTGTATCGCCCAAAACCCCTGTACGGCTCTAATCCGCTATCGTCATCGGCTAGAACCGCTGAAAACATGAAATAAATCGCGTTTTTGTGAATGAACATGGTTAAATATCGTTTCGTCTACTAGCAGATATCACTTGGATGTAATACAGAAATATTCAGAACATTACTGTGAAAAATTATGGCATAAAACGCGTTGTTGCCGAATTGATCCCCTATTTTGCGCTCTAGCCGGTGACGGCCGCCTGACGTTCAGCCTACGTTCGAACAATTAATCACACTTTAAAACGAAGAAAAACATTTGTTCACTTATGTCATAGGTAAATCATGTTCTCTGCAACATTCACTTCGAAAATTGACAAAGTTTAGCCGCACACAGCCTATGAAAATCACCTATCTTGAAAAACTACGAACTCGCCAAACACCCCTGAAGCCAAGTCTCGCCAAAATGGAAAGAAAATGTGATACAATGTTGAAATTTGGGCTAGTTACTCTTCATAGCTCCTAGTTACACCTCCTAGCGATGGAACCCGAATATTTTCCATTGTTGCCGAGTTACAGCAAAATTCCGGGTTTTTTTGGGTCCCCCCTCGTAGATGTCTTTAGTTGAGCATTCAAAGTAAAGAAAAAGACCAAGGTGGCGGATCCTCTGTGGCTTTTTAAAAGTATATCATTTTATTTGGCGTTGACTCTAGCTTGTTTTGTTTGTCCAGGTGAGGGTCAGTCTCAAGGCTTTTGAGAAATTGTATGTATTGTGTGACTTAGTGTTCCAGTAAAAAATGAAAAAGAGACCAAAATAGGCAGTGTGAAATGCTGTTAGGTTGATTCCTAGTTTAATCTATCCGAACTTTCATTGAGCGTTCAATTTAATATTCCTTCTTTTAATAGCATAAGCCTTAGCCACCTGAATTATTTTTTCATTCCAGATCTAGAACTGTTACGAAAGAAATTCGAAGAGGATAAACAGAAGATTGAAGCCTTAAAGAAAGCCAGAAAATTCAGACCATTTGTGTGAATGAAAAATTGATCAACCTGTCTTCAATTGTGTAAATATTGTACATACAAAGTTAAATACAAAGCTCTGCTACTGTTTTATAATTTGTTTCTGTTTTATCCACTCAAATGATCTCCCTTTAATAAGGTACTTATGAATGTTACAAAAAAAAGCTCTCAAGAAGCTTTCAGTAAATATGATTTCTAGCATATATTTACCATACTGAAAGCAATTGATACAAGATTCTCTACAAGTGTTTACCATCACACTGATGATGAACATCCTAGCATCTATGCAGCCGATCTATGCATGAAGAATTTTTTCCTCATGCCTTTGATAATTGTATACCTAGTACATTCTCCTCTGGTTAAATTAGAATTTGGAATAGAAGAAAAAATATACTAGAAGCTCCTCAGCAATCTCAAATTACCTAATATTTAAACCAGGGATTTAATTTTATTATTTTCTGAACGGGGTTCCTGCAAAAAAGGGCCTGCTTTGCTTTAATCAATTAATTTTTGTTATCTCAGGTGCCACAGTAGAATTGTATTAAGAGGAGTTGAGTGCAGCAAAATTGAGACTTCCCCAGCAAACTAGGCCAATTTTCAACTACCTCAGCTCGTTCAAGAGCTAGGAACATGCACACGGAGCAAAAGCCTCACTCCAGTGCAGAATAGCTCCGCAAATTAGAGCAAAATGAAGGAAAGAGATTATTTTTTCCATTGATTGCCCGATTTTAACAGTCAAAAAGTCGGAACATTTTTAGAGTATGACAGGAAATTTTCCATCTTGACTTCTGAATTTGATTCAAAATATGGCACATCTTCTATCTCTCTAGAAAAACTTGAAACTTCTTTAGTGTAGACTCCATTATGCTTTTTTTTTTTTTGCGTTTATGAAAACACAAGAAATCTGCCCAGCAACTCTAATGGTTACTCTGTAATTCGCAACTTTAAAAGTGCTGTTGAATATCAATCCCCCATCACATATCGCTACAGAATGTTTCACCAACATAGAACCCCTTGGCAATCAAAGAAACATTCTTTGCAAATTTGGATTTCTATAAAACCTTCATATTTTCAATGTCACTGATTGGTTTTACATTTCCCTAACTCCTAATCCCTCAACCTTCGGCTAACCCTCCATAGAATCTTTGCTTATATAACCATGCCGACTCTTACTAAACTTGGGACAAATTTCCCACTCAGGAGATGGTTTACCCACTACCTGATGGACTGGCTGAAGTCGTCAAACTTGCACGCTATTCTCAAAATTCCCAGTTGAACCCGGAGTTTTGGACTACTACCACTGGAAACCCTGATATTGAGAATAAAGATATCTTTTTCTTCTAAAAAACTGGTTATCTCCTTATGCTTCTAATGTGTATTTAGGGGAACAGTCTTGCTGAACTTCTATGTCTACATTAAATAACTGCTCATTACTTACTAATTAAAAGTCCATTCTGACACTATCCAATGATTTTGACCTTGGCAGGACGTAAACCTTCGATTGTATAGTATGTAATAGTATTTCAGACTAACATAAATAAAATTAAGGAAAAATAAATTAAAGTTTCCTCAATACATTTATTCTGTGAGAGAAATTTCACATGATAGGTACGTCCCCTCAGGAGGCATTACACCCGCTTCCATCAGTTCTGCCTACATTTCGAGCAGGGGTGCAGAAAGTTCTCCTACATTACATACAATGTCTTTCCAGTGAAAGGAATCTAGAGCGGCTAAGGCATAATAGTTATTTTCCATAATAATTGTCAAGCAAAAAAAATTTAGATTTTTTTCACTATGACGTAAGTTGATGTTGGTGTACTTCACAAAGCAGCACGAATATTTTCTCTTCCATAATCTTAAGCGCAAGATGATTTTTCAATGTTTGCTTGGAGAAAATTTAGAGAGAATTCATTTCCTAAGTTTGATATGTAACTGCCCACAGTGGGGGAAAAAAAACCCTTGACTGCTTTCACAAAAATGGTGGGATCACACACTGAGGAAGGTTAAGAAAACTAAATTCTAACTGGGTTCTAACGAGTGTTCTGCCCTCCCCTTAAAATTTGAGGAGCCACCTTGGCTGAAAAGCCCAATTTTTAGGAGTCAAATTAACTTTTCCAAAATGCATCATGGCACATACGATTTTTTAACGATTGGGAGTTTGGAAAAATCGACAGGTTGCACCAACTTATTTTCATGCCACATTGGCCCAGCCCTTTCTATTTTGGGCCCGATTTTGAGGCGCATGATGCCCAGGGAAGGCAGAGCACTAGTCCTAACAGTTCGACTGTCACATAAATCATTAACTGATAGTGATATTGTCGCAAATGTGAAATAGTAAAAACAATTGATATAAAGTAAACATTAGTTTATTTTTAGTCAATGACAATATAAAAAAAATATAAACAAGAGGATGTTAACGTTTGTAACCACAGCCCTTCCTCCTACCACGAGCACGTTCAAATTTACGTCCTTTGCTGCGCACATATGGCTTCGTATGACTGCCTGGAACTCCTGGAGCTTTACCGAAATGTTTGCAAGCTTCACGGTTCTTGCGTTTACCTGCAAAAGGAAAAAAAATTCAGGATCTGGTTTGAAACTCCATAGGAAGGTATGATCACAGTTTCTTTGAGGTACTGTATGTACTTGTGTACTAGGCACACTTTTACTCCCCAAAAATGTCCAAGAGCTACAAATTGAAGGTGCGTAACTCACTAAGTGGTGGCTTCTTGGTGTTGGGAAGATAGGTAGCTTCCATTGAGTTTACATCAAAGGCAGGATCACTGTGTCCTGCCAGAACTGCTGTTGCAAGCTACTGAGGAGAGAACTTGCTACTTGAGTGACTTGACCAAGGTCACTTGACTCATTTCTCGTCTTCTGAGCTACAAGGTCTCTGTTGTTTCTTGATTTTTTGATTCCCTAACTGTTTTGGCTTTTCCCCGACTCTAAAATTTTCCAACTCCCTGACTTTTCCGGGGTTTTCCGAATGCTGGAAACCCTGCAGCAGCAGATTTCATCCCCTCTGTGGGCCAGTGGCCTGGGAAAGGGGGTGGGAAATGCTTTCAGTGACCTGGAAATCCGTTTTGGTGGGCTTTAAGGACACTTTTAAAAGATAAAGACTAAGGATTCTACAATATTTTCAAAATGGTACTACTCCGTTTCCATTAATTCTCTGATATTCATTTTGCAAGGTGTTGAATTGGAAAATTGAGAGGGTCAAGGGTGGTTTATTAATCCAACATGCCTGAACGATGGTGTTAATTCAGTTCAGAGACTCTTTTGAATGTGTGATTAATGGCAAGTCTCGAGTTCAATTTCTTTCTGAATGGCCGCAGTTGTTTTGGTACATTTTCTTATATTTTCTGGTAGTCCTTGCTAAAGAAGGGGAGCTAGGGGGCCCATAGTACTCGCATTGACAGAAAATTCTGTCAACTCCTGTGACTTGGCTCGTTAAAACAGGAGCATTAAAAAAATTTGTGACTATGCCTGCTAAAAGAATTTCAATTCATAAAATCTCAAAATTTTGAGGTCTCATGCTGCAAAGGAGGGGGGGGGGGCGTGAATTGAATGAGTCATCGAACTAGTTCTTGTGAAAAACATTTGGGCCAAATTTCATGCTCCTGGCATTGGCACTTTCACAAGAGTAAAATGCATTGGAGTTTATTCAATGAATGTGAGAAAGAGAAAAATAAAATTGGGAGGGGGGGGGGAGCGCCCCATAAAATTAGATTTCACTGAATCTCAGAATAACATTAGAAGTTAATTCTGTCCACGCTGGATGAAAATTCGAGGGTCAACATTTAAAGAGCAGACACTGGCGTACGTTTGTCAAAAATTAAACTAAATAAAAACAAGACTTTTATGGTCTTTAATTTAAGAAAGAAAGGGGGAGAAAAATCGTTGGGGTTACCTTGTAATAAGACTGTCTGCTTTCCAGTTGGAGCTCTTAAAGCCAGCTGATCAAATGTGATGATTTCACCACCTGCTTTCAAAATTCTGGCACGAGCAGTTTCTGTAGCTCGCAGGGCGCACACCTGAAAATTGATGAATGGCGGTTGTTACGCTGACTGTTACCAATACAGACACCTAAATTACCTAGCAGTTACCTAATACAGACACAAGTTGTTGATCATACAAAAATAGCCTCGGGCAACGTCATGACTCTGCATTGCACCGAGTATTCTGACTTTGGAGGGAAAAGTTTATTACGCGAACACAATTTCTTTCTTGGGGCTATGCTGTTTGGCACATCACTAGTTATCTCCAATTAGAAAGCAACTATCGACATGTCTGGACAAAACTACTATTGGATCAAACAGCATAAATCTCAAAGGGAAATTGCGCTCACAGTGAGCTTTTTCTCTCTGAAGTGAGAATGCTCAGCATGAGGCAGAGTCATGATGTCACTTTAAGCTTTAGTCATATGATCTCCTATTTGTGTCTGTTGACTGGTGCATCTCGCCACCTTAGTTCCTTGAAATTACCCGATTGTTGAGTGATACTAATTTCAGAGAACTGAGTATAATTAAATTTCAACATAACAAGGAGTGGAATGATCTGAAAATCGTCAGAGGAATGATTACTCATTGTAGAATTAACTGTATCTGACTGATGCATCAAATGCATTATAACAAGATAATATGCTCAAACCTGCAAACCTTCATCATGATGAATGACATTTATTCCTACAAAAAATTACTTTTAGTCTTGGTTTATGACAGCCACATAATCTATGAAAATGACCTAATAATAGTGTCATGCTCAGTCCTACTAATTGAACTTATTCGACTGTTAGATTGTTGGTGAGATATTCTTCACTTAAAGGGAGCCCTTCATTGGCCCTAAGAATGGATATTTCAACATCATTCACTGGGATAACAGCTGTTGAAAGATTCGTTTGAAAAGGGCAGCTCCCGAACACAGATGTTCTTTCAATAATAAGCGACAAACTGAGCGATCCGTTCGGTGAGGCTGCAGAAAATGCTCTTGCGCAACCTGAAGTTATCCCAGGGCACATTACGAAATTTATTTTGCAAAAGCATTTCTAACCCTTATAAGAAGCAAGAAAATATTAAGAGACAAGGAGAGCACGCTGATAATTGGAATATTTTGATTAACCTGGGCTATTGACCTTGACGCGGGGCAAGAAGATCAAGGGGCTGAGATAGGGACTTATTACCAAGCTTTCAAGCCTAGGTTAAAAATGCCATAGGTGAACTACTGGCCAGAGTTCAGGAATGATTCCCAGAACTCAGGACAGCGCTCAAGCCGCGACGCAGTGTCGCACTATGATCTTTTCTTCCTGTAACTTTCGACTCCACTCTGAAAGTTTGCACAAGCGTAATTTAAGGTGTCATCAACATCTTGTGAAATTTTCAAAGAAATTAAAAGGTCCAATTGTGAGATATGTTTGGAAACTTAAAATTTGGGCAAGAAAAAAATTGCAAGTTAGGCCCTATTTTCTTCTACATGTCTGAAAAGCTCTTTCTCAGGGCTTTCCATTGACACCAGAGCGGTTGATTAAGAATGAACCGTTCCGAACTTACATATCAATAGAATGGTGGCATTCTTCGAAAAAAGCCAACTTGAGCAAACCTTCAGTGTCCATTAAAAGCCCAACAGGCGGTCGAATCAACATAAAATTATGGTTTTTTACTAAGCCATGCATGTACAGTAAGCAGGCCAAGTTTCATCAAATTCTGACAGGGTCACTTTTTCGAAGTACCACTAATTGGCATGGAATGACCCTCATGTCAATTATCGATCGGGATTCGGAGAGTCAATAGTGCAGGGTGCAAATTGTTCAAAGCCTCCGCAATTTTTCCAAAGCAAGTTGGGTTTTCACCACAACAGGCTCATCAAAATTTTAATGAATTCTTTGCTAATTTTGAAATGTTTGACTAAGCTACATTAAGTAATCCACATGAGTTGAAAATCTGGAAGAAAAAAATTCTTAGCTCAACAACAATTTGGAGAGCTGTCCTACATTTTGCTGCAACCATGCGGTCCAGAACAGTTTGAACCCTTGCAATATAAGATCTATTCTTGCCATCCTAAGGTAATTATAGTGCTAACATTTGCTTCCCAAGAAAAGGTCCATGAAAACCTCCAAAACTATATAAGATTCAGCACTCCTGTTGCCAAACGATAAGATAATAGGGAAAAAACTTACTGATAACTTGGGTACATCCATTAATCTAGGATCATTGGTGATGGATCCTACGACAACGGCAGTTTTACCAGCACGGCTTGGTTTTGTCATGTGTTTTGACAATCTGGACAAAGACATCTGTGGCCTATTTGTTTTGGACATAAACAGACGCCTCAATACAATTTTGTTGAACTTAGCGCGAGTACGTCGGACCAAATATCTGTAAAGCTGCAAAATACAAGGAAATTAGGAAACTGGAAAAAGTGTCATCATGAAGTAAGGTTAACTTAGGTTACATGGAACCTACATGGCAAGTCTCGCTTGAAGTTAGAGCATGGCTACTAGCTGCAGATCAGATGCTGCATATTGCAGCACTGTTCTGTACATGACTGGAGTTAACTTGGCATATAACAGAAATGTGTACTCAAACGACTCATGAGTTGAGAATTGCTCCTGGTTTCCGCCGAAAATGTACACGGTAGCTTGCTAGCTGGGAACTTTCATGGAGCGGTATTGAGATGAGTGAATAAAAAACCGCAAGAAAGTAGAGTAGGGTTTGATAGAAAAATGGTTCGACTTACCTTCACTAAAAGCAGAAGATACACATCTTTAGAACGTGGTTTGGACCTCCTGACTTTGCGGTCATACCTGTGCGAGATGTCGACTCCCTGAAACGAGCAAAGAGTGGATTAGAGGAAGCACTGGATGATTTTATGATATTCAATAGAGATTAGTTTTAACAGATATATGAGGAGCCTTTGTGTAAAGAAATAATTAAACTTACCATTTTCGTCTAAAAATAAGACTCCAGACACGTGTGACGGATGGAGCTGAGGCCTGTTTGCGGGAGGAAGAAAACGCAAGATGGCGTCCTGAGCATATACAGATGAGACAACCTTCACAAAATGGTGCAAAGCTCTAACATGCTCTAATCTGCATATATTGATTTCCTATAATGATAATATGACCGAAAGATTGAATTGAACTTTTTAAAAATATAAAGGAGTAAAGAGCAAAACAAAATTATAGGCGACTTTTTCTAACTCGCAATTTCAAGAAATATTATCAACCACCGAAGGACAGTGGATTTTCAAAAGTTCAAAGTTTCTCGTTGGTACACCTAGATCTAGTAAATTATTGTGGGCGCGCCTAACGGGCGCTATCCGAACCACACCTTTTCGCAGGTGTACTTTTGGACTGTTGCAGATTCTTGCCGTAGGATGCGCTGTCGTCAAGTGTACCTTTTGTCTCTGACCTTTTGTGACTTTGTGAGGTTAGTTTTATGTTGTGCTCATGTGCTGTCAAAAGTCAATTTTTCGATACCGTTAAACCGTTTTGGACTTGAAAACTCCTGGAGGTAGTAAGTCAATTTTCCTACTCACTTTTAGCTTTTTATTTAGAGGGTATGCAAGAGAATACTTCTGTTTTCCTTGGACTTACTCCTGGGAATGTAGAAGTGATTTTCATGTGTACAATAAACATGCTCGGCATACAATCATAACGTGGTAACACATTTGCTATTTCCTATCCTCTGTTTACATCAAAAGAGGATGAAGAAATCTGAGACTGGCTCGACCTCACTCGTAAGTCACCCTAGGAACCCCAAAATAATCTGGTAAGGAGCTGAATGCAAGGCTTATCAGTGATCTGTAAAAGTTGTCGAGCCAATAGATATCAACATGGATGAAAAGTTATGGGCCCTCCAAGATTTATCCTTTTTTGAGCCGTCGGCAAAAGTGGAGCTGAAAAGAGAATAAGTCTGCTTTTTCATATGCTAAATCCAGTGGAAATGTTGTCTGGAAATCCTAGAGGTAATCAAGGAGATTTCTTGTATTTTTGCTAGCTGGAAAGAGAAGGCAGACAAAACAATCTCTTCTAATGACAGGGCCAATCGCTCAATGCTCATGGCTTCTCCTACATTTCAAGTCCATATTCTACTTCTATTTAGTGTTCAAAAGAGCAATCCTTTACAAATGTATTTTATGACTGCATTTCCCATGATTCCAAGCTGATTCTAGTATGATTTCCTTTCAGGATTGTTACATGTAGTTTTCTCTAATTTATTATATTCAAACAGAAAACTAAGCAACACTGAGACTCGACATTTTTACAGTATAGTCTTCATAATCAAGGGTAAAGGAATAGAAAGCTCAAAGGTGTTAAGTAGTAAGTTCTCTGTTGAAAAAGTAAAAATACAAGGCAATGTTAAATGAGGCGTCTAGAACCTAAACCGGCAATCTCCATTACCTCACAATAGCTTGTTTCCTCCATAATGTCAAAGATAGTGATCGTATCTCTTCAATTTCTCTCAAATATTTAAACTCTTAGTTTCATTCATGCATTTCTGTAGTCTGGGTGTTAATGTGCCTCTTTTCCATGTGTTTCTAGGAAGAAAACGTACAACCTATTTTGACATTATCCTCTTTAGTTCCTGTGGAGAAATTTGCTCAAACTAGTGAGTGGTCTTCAGACTGATTCATGAATTCGAAATTTCAGGTAAGGTTTTAGGAGCTTTTTAGATTGATAAATTTTATTCTTAGATGTCATTATCAAATCGTATTTCTATTTTCTTACTGATGATCAAATAGAGTAGAACTAATTCAATAGAGAATTTGCGGGAGTCTAAAATTTTGTAAAATTTATTTTTGAAATGAAACGGCTAGGAAAACTGAGCACGAGGATGTCCTTGCTTTCTCAATTGAAAAATTATTGGATGAAATATGAAGAAGTTACAGAATCTGCCAAAATACATGTGATAAAATGGAAAATCATGAAAAATGATGTCACGAGGTGGCACATTTTCTCACTTTTAGATCCATTTTCCTCCAATTTCCCATTTCAGTAAAAACTTAAGAAAAATACTGCAAACTCAGCTCAGTAAGCACTCTCAGACGAAGCGATAAAATTTGTGTGAGCAAATTCTCCATTCTCAGCAACATGCTTCTTAACTGATGCCACTTGCAAGTGCTCAAGGAAATTGTAAGAAAAGAGCATGTCTTCGGCATGATATTCTCAGGAGCCATCTTTACTACAACTGCTTACTCGCCACGAATACTAGAAATGTAATTTTCTATTTTTTCAATTTGTCCCTTCTTTAAGCTGTGGTTTTTTTTTACGAATTGATCCAATTTATTTTTTCAGGTGAAACCAAATTGTCTCTCAAAAGATACCTTGAGGCTGAGCCTGTTCACCCCTGAGCGTTTTGTTGAATCTCAAGATTATATGGAAGCACATGTTGGATTTTGTGCATAATGGTGCTTAGATAATTTGTGTAAGTCTCCTTTCAACTCACAACCATACAATTTTTATTTGTATATTATTGTAAATTTGTAGCTACAAATAGTACGATAGCCTCTGCGCATGAGCCTGTAAAATCATGCTCAGAACTTCATTAGGTAATATGCTTTCCAATATCCAATATGCTCCAGCATCTCATGCCACAGCTCCTTCTGGGTGTTTCTCATACCGAGATGCACTAATTTCTCTTCCCGCTGTTCCTTTCTCTTCCTTGACGTTGTCTTCCAGTTCCTCTCAGAGCGGAAAGTCAGAAACCCCTCTTCTTCAACCTTCTTTTTCCACCATTAAAACTTCAAAACCTGTCTTTTCTTACCAGCATCACTTGAAATGTAAGAACGTTCTTCGTAAGTCTACTCCCTCTCCCTCTGCCTTAATTGCCAGTCGCCTGCCTCCTACTCAGTCGCTTACCAGGCCTGTGCCCCTTTCTGTCTTTTCTCAGGGCAATCCTGGCCTTAGGAAATCTTTGTCATCGTCGGCCCCTGCATCCTTTGCCTCCCACAATAAGCGCTCCTCGCAGAATTGTGCAACCTCATCTCTCTCCGTTTACTCTATTCCTCTCTGTAACAAATACAGTTCTCTGCAATCCTCTGCCAAGTCTGTCCCTTCCAAATCATTCATCCCTCCAGGTAACCTGCACCACAAAAGTAAGTTAAAAGTTATCCATCCCCATCATCAATTCATCCGAGAAGTCATTCCTTCTTATCGCCCCACTAATGGTGGAGGTCGTGCTCCAATTGTGTATCCTCGCTTATGTGACAATTGTTGTAAAACATATCAAACGAAGCAATCTTTTTCTAATCATAAGAAAAGTTGTACATCTACTGCTCCTAAGGAACCTTCAACGGCTTCTGATGAATCTGTTTCACATTTCCCAGACCCTACTCCTTCACCAAAGAATTTTGTACCCAAAGAAGGTACTGTTTCTGTTATAATGTGTCCTACTTGTAAAAGGACTTTTGTCAAAGAAGAAAATCTAAAAAAGCACTCGAAAATATGTCCAAGAGTGATGAAGTATCCACGATTGTGCAAAGACTGCTCCCGAATGTACAAAAGTAAGGAATCCTACCATCTTCATAAAAAACATTGTGATCGACTTAAATTAAAATCAAGTGAAGGAACTTTTCCTCCCTCATGTTCCACCTGTCATGCTTTGTTTTCCAATAAGCATTCCTTTCAGAAGCACATGAAAGTAAATTGTAAGGATTTCAGTGTAAAATGCACTTTTAATGATTGTAATAGACTTTTTCGTTCCTTTAAGAGTATGATGTATCATCTGACTAGCCATCATTCCAAAGAAGCAACAAAGTTTTTAACATTCAATAATTTTAATGATTTTAAAGAATGGAAGAAGACAGAAGAGCGTCAAAGTTTCTGTAATCAAAGAAAAATTTGTGGCACTAAAGTTTTTAAGGAGGAAACCATTCATTATTATAAATGTTTGTTCAATCGCAAAAAGCGTTGTCTCCAGTCTTTAAAACAACAACGAAGAACAGCAAGGAAAAGGAGATATGGTCAAATTCCTGAAGGTGCATGCCCCTCTGCAATAACAGCAAGGGTTACCACCTCAGGAGAAGTTAAAGTTAAATATGTCTCTTGCCACTCTCATTCTATTGACGAAAAGAATAGAATTTTTCACCGTTGGCAACCAGAAACAATTGCAGAAGTTAAGCGACTTTTGAATGATGGTGTTAGTGCTGAAAATATTAGGCTAAAATTTTGTAAAAAGAAAGGTGAAAATATCCCATATCCTCTAAGAGAACATTATATGACAACCAGGGAAATATTAAGGTATAAGTTCTTGCTGAAAAGAGCAAAACGAAAAGATGATGATGATGCAACAGCAGTTAAGAAAAAAGTTGATTCTATGACTGAAGAAGAGAAGAAAAACATTTTAATCTACAAGCCTCAAGGGTGTCCCACTTATATTGGGGATGCGAATTTTGATAGTTTACCATACCACAAAGACCTTTTTGTTTATGGGTTTCAAACTGAGCAGCAATTGAAAGAAATGCAAGAGGGTTCTAGTCGTGGGCTGTGTATTGATGCCACCCACAAAACTAATCGTTATGATTTTTATTTATTGAATATTTTGATCCCTGACGAATATGGGTCAGGCTTAGTTGTTGCGCAGATTTGTGACCAATCACCTTGATGCTCAAATCTTGGGGATTCTCTTCCGCTCGATGAAAAAAAAGTGCCCGCATTTACCGGTACATATTGTTATGACTGACGACGATCCAGCTTTGTGGGAATCATTTAAATCTGTTTTTTCAGAAGATAATCCAAATTGGGACGGAAAGCATCTTCTATGCAAGTGGCATATCCTTCGGTCATGGCAAAAAAATTTAAACAAAATTAGAAGAGGTTCCTTAAGACGACTCATCAATAAATACTTACGAGTACTGATGGAGGAAAGAAACGTAGATAATTTTGAAACAAAACTAAACAATTTTTTGAAGAAGTTTTCCGGTTCCCAGTTCACTAGATTTATTAAGTATTTTAAAACATATTATTTAAATAATGATAAACCCAGGCTTTGGGCAATGTGTTACCGGAATTACTATCATAACGATATAGATACTAACAATTTTGTAGAATCATTTCACAGAGTCTTAAAAAAGCGTTTAAAACGACTGAGTAATTTAAGAATGGATGAGCTGATTGAGATTTTGGAGGAAATGGAGCATGAAAGATTTTTAAAATTAGAAGATAGGCGTGTTAAAGGTGAGCCACACAAAGATTTCAACAAAGCAGATGCTCGTCATAGTAGAGGTATGAAAATACGTCATTCTGCAATAACTTTCCTTGCCGACAATAAGTGGTTAATTAAATCAGAAAATAAAAAAGGAACATTGTACCTCGTCACTAGAAAGATTGATGAATGTTGTCTGGATCATTGTTATGATAAGTGTAATAACATGTCATGTTTTGGTTTGTGTATCCACCTGTATGATTGTAACTGTCCTGACAAAGTAGGTATGTGTAAGCACATACAGGGTGATCCAAAAGTCCCTTCCACCCCCTCTAACTTTTTACCTAATTGAGGTAAAGATTTGAAACTTAGGGGATATTCCTAGGTCAAAGGGAGCTACTTTTTGGCCCCCCTAAAATTTTCAGGGGGGCCCCCTTGGGGGGGCAACGGCCCCCAACTTTTAATTTTCAAATGGGAAGACCCCCTTTGTGATAGCTCGTTCGAAAGAGCATAAAAAAAGAAAACTTTTCGCGCAAACCCGAAGTCAATATCTCAAACCGTTTCAAAATGGCGGCCGGTTAAAGTTCAAAATGGCCGAAAATTCACACCGGTTATTTGTCGATGGATTTGCGCGAAAATCGGTATGTGGGGGTATTTTGACACGAGAAAAACGAATTTGACGTTAGATTTTCAAAAAAACCGAAATTTCCAAAATGGCCGCCGGTTAAAGTTCAAAATGACATAAAATTGATTTTTTTAGAAATCTAAGTTCAAATTTTTTTATCTTATGCCAAAATACTCTCAAATTCCAAGTTTTAGGCAAATCCATCAGCAAAAAACCGAGGTGACAATTTTCGGCCATTTTAAACTTTAACCGGCGGCCATTTTGGAAATTTCGGTTTTTTTGAAAATCTAACGTCAAATTCGTTTTTCTCGTGTCAAAATACCCCTACATACCGACTTTCGCGCAAATCCATCGACAAATAACCGGTGTGAATTTTCGGCCATTTTGAACTTTAACCGGCCGCCATTTTGAAACGGTTTGAGATATTGACTTCGGGTTTGCGCGAAAAGTTTTCTTTTTTTATGCTCTTTCAAACGAGCTATCACAAAGGGGGTCTTCCCATTTGAAAATTAAAAGTTGGGGGCCGTTGCCCCCCCAAGGGGGGCCCCCCTGAAAATTTTAGGGGGGCCAAAAAGTAGCTCCCTTTGACCTAGGAATATCCCCCAAGTTTCAAATCTTTACCTCAATTAGGTAAAAAGTTAGAGGGGGTGGAAGGGACTTTTGGATCACCCTGTACATAGGGTTCACTCCTTCTCAACTCGTAATAATCATAGATCTGTTACAATTGTTAGTAATGAGGATGTAGAAATGACAGGTGAAAGTAGACCAGAAGAACCTGAATTGATGAGTCCTGAGTGTAGCGTAAGTGATGTTGAAGATGAACCATGCTCTACCCACTCTTTTAGTAATGACAGTTCCACTTCGTCAGAGCACTTACAATCGA